ATTTAATTGAATTATTCAAATAACTAATCCAAGTTTGTTTATTTAACAGTAATTTGACTACATAACTTCAAACTAAAGACAAGAAAAAATGAAAACAAATCTCGAGCAATAAGTTTGGTTTTTGTATTAGCATAAATGCAGGAATCCTGAAATTAATTTGTATAGACTCTAGCTAGGAATAAGAAAATGTGTAAATACATTATTCCTGTGAGGATCCATAGATCTCTTATATGAGAAAAGGTGCAAATCTGGGAAGGGAGAAGTCAAGGGAAAACCCTTTATCACTAAGAACTCATGAATTTTTAATAGATGGAATGATGGAACAAGGAAATCATCACTGTGCAACCATCTTAGCAGTAACTGATTCATAAAATTGATTGATTCATTAAATGCCCCCCGCCCTCCTGTGTGGGTGGGCATAAGCCAATATGTTTGTAGCTCTGTGTAGAACAAAAGGCACAGGGAAGGAGGATTCATTCCTTGTGTTTCTGTCTACAGCAGCACCGGGGCTGGCCTTTAGAACACTCACTTCCTGGGTTGTCAGGCCTTCAGCTTGGACTGGAAATCAAACTTCTGGCTTCTGTGCACCTCCCATTTGCAGATGACAAACAGGGAGTGATGGACAGTGGAGTGTAATGGTAGATGGTGGACTTGGCATCCCTAAGGGTGGGACCCAAATCCTTCTGATTAACTTCTCTCTACTTCTGATTCACTATCAATCCATTATTATAGTGGATCATAATGTTCAATATTAATATTTTACTATTTTAGGATATTATCAATATATGTACAGGTGCTATTGGTTCTATTGGTTTTCCCGGAGAAACCTAGTTTATACAATAGTCAAGTCAAAACATAAAATAAAACGCTACATTATTTAAAACTGATCTATCAGCTTAAGGCATTCATTTTAATCTGGGGTTTTAAGAAGTCCAAGAATTTACAATGGCTGTACAAAACAATGAAAGAAATATAAGCAAACTGAACAAGGCTAATAAAATTACCAACGCTAATAAAATAGCTTTCGCGACTGGAACCGGTGTTCTTTTTTGGAGGTGCAGGGGGTCAATTCAGGGCGTCAGACATGCAAGGGAAGTGTGCTACTACCAAGCCACATCCCTGGCTCTGAGGACTAAGGAATTTTACACAGAGTAAAAAAAGCATACGGGACAACATAATTTTGAGACACTGTAAAATACCCTGGCTTGTACATAAACTCACAAATTCTAACACTGGGTCATGGAGTGAGACAGAAAAATCACAGAAATCTTTAGAAACCAATATGGAGAGATATTAAAAAAATATAAGCAAATTTCTAAGTGACTCATAACACAATTTTCGTTCTTCCCTTTGGACTTGAAAGCTCACTGCTTTTTTTTTGGGGGGGTGGGGTGGTCACACCCAGCGATGCACACAGGTTCTGCACTCCTGGCTCTGCACTCAGGAATCACTCCTTGTGGTGCTTTTTTTTATATATATAATTTTATTTATTGAATCACCATGAGAGCAGTTACAAGGCTTTCGGATTTAAGTCTCGGGCATACAATGAAATACCCATACCTTCACCAGTGCCCATTTTCCACCCCCAAAACCCCAGTATACCCCCATCCCACACCTTCCCCCTACCTAAGGGGCAGATGATTTCCACATTACTTTCTCTCTACTTTGAGTACATTCAATATTTTGACACCAGACCCACCATTATTCATGATCACGATCATCCTGTTGTTCGTCGATTGCCTCAAGCAGGCACCAGTAACGTCTCCTTCATTCTAGCCCTGAAATCTTATAAAGTGCCATATTCAAGGCTCTTTCAGGGTTAGGAGAATAAGACCCATCATTGTTACTGGTATTTGGCATATTGGATACGCCACAGGAAGTTTGCCAGACTCTGCCATGTGGGCAGATTACATTCGGTAGACTGCCAGGTTGTTCAAAGTAAGAATAAGATAGTAAGATGTCACGTAGCCGCATTTGCAGCCGCGTGATTCCGGGAGCTAAATTTTATAGTCTCTGGGTCATGGCCGTTGGTGGGATTATATGGTGCTGGGGCTCAGTTGGTGGGTGTGACCCCTGCCTACTGGAAGATGGAGGATCTAGGTGGAGGATGCTCAGCCCTGATCCAAGCAGGCTTGGAGATCTCAGCCCCAGGACCCACATGCCTTTGTTCCTCTTTGTTCCTCCGGTACCTCCATGCGTGTGGAGAGTGGTCTCAGCATGGTGGTGGCTGGTTCTGGAGGTCTTCGGCTGCCAGGGCTCTGCTGGGGCAGGGAGGGAAACTCAACCCGCCCCCCTCCATGGGGCCCCGGTAAGGACAGTCAGGCACGGGGGCAGGAGACTCTGCACTGTTCTCTTCCGGGAGCTCGGTTTTATAGTCTCTGGGTCTTGGCCGTTGGTGGGATTACACAGTGCCAGGGGGAAGTTGGTAATAAATCCCATTATTATTTGGGATTTTACCCCAACACTCAGATCTGCTGAAAGGCAACAGTAGACAATTCGTTTTCTATTGCTGGTTATGAATAATATATGATGTCACGTGGCAGCAGTAGTGGCCACGTAATTTTGAAATTCCGAAATTTTAACAATTAAATCTGGAGGGATTTCTGCCCAAACCTGCTGGGTTCTGAGATTTGTTCCTGAGTCTCTTGGACCATGGCCGTTAAGAAGCTTGATCAGGAGCCAGAAAGGCCGTTAGTGGGTGGCAACTCGGGGTCTCGTTGGGACGGGGAGGAAAGGGCCAGCTCTACTCCCATCCCGTGAGGCCCCACATGTCTCATTACTGAGGGCTCAAACCTGACTGTCCAATAGCCTCTGGAGGATGGTGACCACGGAACCACCAAGAAGGAGCAGGCGGAGGGACAGTACTCTTTCCCCCCAGGAATGGCCCAGCGACAGTAACCTACTGTGGGGTCTGGATACATTTCTGCCAAAAGCCTCTCGGTTCCAAGATTTGTTTCTGAGTCTCTGGGATCATGGCCATTAAGCAGCTTGATCAGGAGCCAGAGAGGCTGTTTGTGGGTGATGACTTGGGGTCTCGTTGGGGTGGGGAGGACAGGACTGGCTCCACCCCCATCCCGTGAGGTCCAACATGTCTCGTCACTGCAGGCCCAAGCCTGACTGTCCAATGGCCTCTGGAGGATGGCAGCCACCGAACCACCAAGGGGGAGCAGGCGGAGGGACAGCACCCTTTCCCCCCTAGGGTGGCCCAGCGACAGTAACCTACTGTGGGGTCTGGACACATTTTTGCCAAAAGCCACTGGGTTCCGAGGTTTGTTTCTGAGTCTCTGGGGTCATGGCCATTAAGCAGCTTGATAAGGAGCCAGAGAAGCCATTCATGTGTGGCGACTCGGGGTTTCATTGGGATGGGGAGGAAAGGGCCGGGTCCACCCCCATCCCGTGAGTCCCCACATGTCTCGTCACTGTGGGCCCAAACCTGACTGTTTCTGGTGGTGCTTAAGGGGACCATATGGGATGCTAGGAATTGAACCCAGGTCAGCCACGTGCAAGGCAAATGCCCTACCCATTGTGCTATCGCTCCAACCCCAAAAGCTTACTGCTTTGGGAACTTTGAAAACTCTGGAGTTGAGATCAGAGCTAACACAGGGCTGTTTAAAGCTTTTGCCTTTGCTTTCGGCCAACTCTGTTTCAATCCTCAGCATGACATGGTGTATGCCTGTGGAGTGGCCCCCCTCCCACAGAGCCAGGAATAACCCCCAAGAAATGGGCTGGAGCAATAGCACAGCGGGTAGGGCGTTTGCCTTGCATGTGGCCGACCCCGGTTCAATTCCTCCATTCCTCTCAGAGAACCTGGCAAGCTAACAAGAGTAACCCACCCACACTGCAAAGCCTGGCAAGCTCCCCGTAGCGTATTTCATAAGCCAAAAATAGTAACAACAAGTCTCACAATGGAGACGTTACTGGTGCCCACTCGAGCAAATCAATGAACAACAGGAGGACAGTTCTACAGTGCTTCAACTAAAAATAGACAAACATAAAATAATAAATTTAAATTAAAACAAAACCCCTAGAGTTTTGGCCAGGGAAACAGCACAACAGACAGGAGTGCATGCTTTGCATGCAGGAGGCCTGGGTTCAATACCTGGCACCACACGATCCTCCAAACACCAAAGCAGGAGTAGGACCTCTAGTTGCACAATCCAAGCTGGTATGGATCATGCTTTTTGCCCAAAAGAAAAACCGAAATATGGAGTGCGAGGGCCACAGGGAGATGGCTCAAAGGGCTTGAATAGGAGCTCTGCATGTCAGAGCTCCAGGTTTGATGCCTGAAGAGTGTACCACCACAAGGTCTCCGAAGCACCCCCGGGAGTGGCCTCTGAGCAGAGAAGCAAGCGGTGCTTGGGGACCAGTGCCAGGTATGAAGCCCGGGACTCTGGCATGCAAAGCAGCTGGAAGGAGAAATGGGCTGCGCATTTGAACTACTTTGAGAATCTAACCCCTTGTTCTGCTCGGTTCAATTGTTCGGCCTTAGTGCATATATATAAATATTCTCTCCTGGACAAATGATTCTTTCTGGAATACACAGGAAGTAGCTCTCTGCAGATAATGCTTTCATTTAAAAGCACCATTGACACCCTGATATAAAAACGGCTGGCTTGGGCTGAAGTGCTCTGGAATGCCGAGGTTCCGGGAGACCCCTAACTCTGCTTGCTTCACCAGGTCCCGAGCTCTGCTCCGACTCAGCTCTTGGTTATGGACTATTGTGTAATTGCCCTATCCTTGTAATTCTGAAAAGGGTATTTTCCTCCATTTTACTTTAGGCTGGTGTCTTATGCATAGGCTGAGGGAACTTAATGAGTTTTTAAAAAGGAACCTAACATACATCATCACAATAGAACTGGAAACATCACAAATGAGGTACTTCTTTAATAAAGAACATTCAAGTCAAGTACACACTATCACTTTCTGCAAGAAACGATCTCCCCAGTGATCATGGTAAGAAATATGACTCATCTGTGTGTGTTACTTTAATACAAACTTACTCATCATTGTCTTCTGTTGCAGATTCTGTGCTTTCAGGTAAGTGAAGATTATTCAAATTTCTCCTCTTTTCTATACATGTGCAATAAAAAAGAACATATAGTTAAGGAAAATAATTTCAACTTTTAAATAGAAATTAAGAGTAGAGACAAATAAAAAAAGTAAAGAAAGGTATGTTGAAATTTGCTGTGGGAAAAACCTTTTCACAGTTATGAATAACTTTTTGATAACAATTTTAGTTCTCTACTTTCCCTTCTAATATTTCATTCCTTATGATAATATATAGAAAAAATCTTTTCTGTAAAACTTACATTAGGACTTAGTAAAGAAGAAAGTTACGGAGTCAGTTTGATAATTAATTTAAAATACAGTTGTAAATTTCACCAGAAAAATACTTTAATGAAAATATCTTTAGAGCTTTCATTATTATTATTATTTTGGGGGGGCCCCACCCAGCAATGTTCAGGGGTTACTCCTGGCTCTGCACTCAGGAATTACTCCTGGTGGTGCTCAGGGGTCCATCTGAGATGCCAGTGATCAAACTCAGCATCCCATATAGGAAATGTCCTACCCTCTGTAATATTGCTGCAGCTCATAGTTTTCATTTCAACCCTAGTTTTTCCTTAAAGTTAACCACAAGAGTGTGGTAATACTTAAAAAAAAATTAAAAAAAAAAAAAAGTTCCTCGGGGGCAAGAGTGATAGTATAGCGGGTAGGGTGATTACCTTGAATGACCAACCCAGGTCTGATTGTGAGGATCCCATATAGTCCCTGCGCTCTGCCAGGAGTGATCCCTGAGTGCAGAGCAGGAGTAAGTCCTGAGCACCACTGGGTATAACCCATAAACAGAAACAAAACAAAAAACCCCAATGAGTCCCAAGTTATAGTAATTTTGATTTTCAGGTTAAACTAACTCTGTGGAATACATATTAATTTACACTGGTTAATTTATTCAGGGTTCTTTAAATCCTGGGGGGGAAATATGCCTACGAAACTACTTAGTTACTTATAATAGATATAACAAAAGAAAATGGTTACATGTCATTCATGTAAGATTCTATATAAATGATTCTCTAATGGTGTGGCAGATCTAAACTTAAACAAGTTAACAGAAACAGAAGCACAGTTAAAATACAGTGTAACTAAGGCATAATCCTTTAAAAGTGTGCTGGGTTGAAATGTCAGTTGTATTTCACAGCTCTAGAAGAACATAAAGATTGCACAGAAACACTTTAACTTACTAGGGTCAAGTAGACAACTATTTTTGTTTGTCTAAAATATCTTAAGCTACTGAGAGTATCCTGTCCGCGGGGCAGAGCCTGACAAGCTCCCTGTGGCATGTTCTATATGCCGAAGAAAACAGTAACAACAAGTCTCACAATGGAGACATTACTGGTGCCTGCTTGAGCAAATCGATGAACAACGGGAGGACAGTGCTAGGTGCAAAGTACCCTATAGCACTAAATGTACTATAAAACAGTCAGTATTTAATATTTTTTTTGAGGACACATTAGGACAGTTCAAGATTCTCAGTGTCTTAACATGATCTTTGATAAATGTTCATTGAAAAAACAAGCAAATGAATGAACACAAACTCTTTCCTGCTAATGAAAAACTCGAGATGCTACTTTTTAAAAGATTTAAGTGGTGATACTTACATTATACATTCTTATGCACTTCTATTTGTTCAACACTTGGCATAGGAACCAGTATTTACTCAATATTCCTATTATTAAAAAAATAATAATACAACATACCATGAAAATCTACAGCTCAGGGGCCAGAGCGATAGGACAGCGGATAGGGCCTTTGCCTTGCTCGTGAGTGACCCGGGTTCCACCCCTGACATCCCATATGGTCCGCTGAGCACCACCAGGAGTGATTCCTAAGTGCAGAGCCAGCAGTAACCCCTGAGCATCACCAGCTGTGGGCCCCAAAATAAAAGCAAAAAATAAATAAACTAGGGATTGTGATTTAAAAAAATATCTACAGCTCATAATCTCAGAAAAATAGAAATACCATGTGAGGGGGTTGGAGAATTAGTAGAGCAGGTAGGGCGCTTGCCTAGCACGCAGCAGATACCAGATGGTCCTTCGAGACCACCAGGAATAATCTGACATCAGAGCCTGGAGTAAGCCCTGACCACAGCTGTTGTGGTCCCCCAACCAGTCAACCGATCATGTTGGCATTTCGGCACATTTAGCCATTTAGGTCTGCTAGGGCCAGAGAGATAACTCAAAGGGCTGGAGTATATACTTTTCAGGCAGGAGACCCAGATCTGATCCCTAATACAGCATGGCCCCCCAAGCACTAGACCCTGAGAACCCCAGAGTACTGCTGGGTAACAGCCCCCCAACAAAACCCAAACCAAACAGCAACAGAGGGAGGAGAGTGCGGGGGTTAAGGCCTTGTATGGATTCAACTCTAGCTTGATCCCAGGCACCACCTGGTTCTTTGAGTACCACCAGGTGTAGCCCTGGAGGCTCCCACCCGTGCCAGGGGTGGCTATGGAAGTCCCTGAGAGCCATTAGGGTGCCCTGGGCAATTTCTGGCCTGACAGAGCCATGCAACATTATATCCTAGGGCCCTTATATTGAATGCATCACCAGGAGGGGGTCCCTGGACCTCCTGAGCACGGCCAGGGTGTTCCCCCCCAAAACAAGTAACAAAATCTAAATGAAAGTCTTTAGTCTTCTAGTAGCAAGATAGATTGACTGACTGGCTTTTCAGATGACAATCATCATGCTCTGGGCTGACTCTTGGCTCTGTGCTCAGGGATCACTCCCAGTGGTGCTCCGGGAGACCGTATGTGGTGCCGGGGATGGAACCTGGGCGAGCCCACACGTACAGACGCACCCTAACTCCTTACTAGCTCTCCAGCCCACAGCAAGATATTTTGAAAAGGAGAAACCAGGGGAAATAAATGTTCACATTTTATTTAAGCCAAATACCACAAACTGTATAACCTGAATTCATAATATAAAATTACTGGAGATGATTTGTATGTTTGTTTGTTTATTTTCACAGAAAGTTTCTGATTTATTTAGAGCACATCTCAGCTTGGACTAGCTATATTCTAATGCTCAATTAGCAACATGAATTGAACCGAAGAGTTCTAGTTAACAATGCAGAAAGATAAACTATTTTGAAATGGAACTCAAAATACTTGAAATATTTGAAAATACTCAAAATGGAACTCAAAACTCAAAAGGAAGGCCACTTCCTTCCATTTTCAAATGTAATGTCCTGACATGTTAAGAAGACAACTGTCTGGGGACAGAGAGATAGTCTAGTAGGTAGGGTGCTTGCTTTGCACACGGCCGAACTGGGTTCAACTCCAGGCACCACACAAGGTTCCCCAAGCCCCACCAGGAGTGATCCCTGAGCAAAGAGTCTAGAGTAAACCCCGAGCACCATCAGGTAGAGTCCAAAAAGAAAAAAAAAAAGAAAGTAAAAAAAAAAAAAAGCACTTACTTGGTAGAATATCACCAATGAAAATGAATACTCAATCCTTATTCCAGAAAATTTTGGCCTAAAGGTTAATAGTAATTTCCTGAATTTTGTACTATGCTGCCTATATTCAATAAAACCCAAAATTAAATATTAAAATTACTTTGCTCCTTTGACTTCTAATTCATTTTCTCATTTCTGTAGCAGTAGTCATTAAAGTTAGGTGAGAAACACTAAAAGCTTTAATTTCATCAGGTATTCTCTGCCTTTCTAAATATTTTTATTATTATAAGACAGGTTTCAATAGATCAGAGCATTTAGAATTATAATCAATGATAATCATGTCTGATAATGGCTAGCACAATCTAGTGTTTTGTTTCATTTTGGGACTACATCTAGTGGTGCTCTGGGCTTATTCCTGGCTCTGAGCCCTGGGATCACTCCTGGTGATGCTCAGGGGACCATTATAGCATTTGGCGTTTGGCAGATTGAACCCAGGTCAGAGATATGCAAGAAGTGTATATATATTTGCATATATATGTATACATTAAATAGGTGAAGGGAGCTGAAGAGAGAGCTCAGTGGGCTGACTGCATGCCTTGCATGAAGGGGCGCAGATTCAATCCATAGCACCACATGGACCTCCAGGATAGCTGGGTATTCAAGTTTAATTCCCTTGCGGGTAACACATCTTTTCTCTGGTAGGGCACTAACAAACATTTTCTCTTTGTTTCGAATGTTCTACAGTTTTACTAAAATATAACTGGGTATAGATTTGTTTTAATTCATTCAGCTCAGACTAAATATGCCTGAAAATTGTTCTCATTCCTGAATAATGAAAAACTCATTGTCCTTATATTTTAGAACACTGTTTCTGAATCAGGGGTCATGTGACTCCTTGTGAGGTCCCAGGCTATCCCCAAGGAGCCACGGGTGAAAATTACATAAATGGGAGGTCATGGCATGAGACCAGGGAGCCAACGGGTAAGGACAAGGATTAGGGGTGGGAGTGAGGGGTAGGGAGGCACAGTCGAAAAAAAGATTGAGAAATAATGTCTTGGAATATTGCCTCTACCTCATTTCTTTATTGAATCTTTGTGGGGTGCCTTTTTGACATATGCTGGAATTTCTAAATCTGTCCTCAACTTACTGTTTTATCAATTCTTTATCTATTTATCTCTCTGTGCTGCTGTTACAGTGCCACAGTCTTTGTGATTTCCAAGGATTATGCCTAGTTTACAAGTACTCCTTTGGCGATGCAAATTTATTATTTCTTCTTCTTCCCTAACATTAAATAACAGTCTGATATATCACTGGGAAGAAAGGAAGGAGAAAAGTACCCTCATTCATCTTTGAAATTATAGAAATTTGATCATAGAAATTTGCTACAGAGTAGGGAAAGGTAGTCATACAATGATACACAAACATCTATAAACAAATTACACATATGATGACATATCTTAAATGTATATACATGTACTATCCTAGATATGATATATATGTATATGTAGGTATGTATCTTAAATAAACCAAAGAATTGAAAACAATCATCCCACTTTTGACCCATGAGAGTTTAAGGAGAAGACACAGAATCAATTTTTCTTCTTTTTATAATTTACAAATAGATTTAGATATATGAAATCATTGGTTCACATACATAGTACATGACTCGAATATATATTCAAAGTAGATATAAATACCTGAAGTACGGATATTCCAGACTTAAAGAACTGCAGGTTCACTAACCTTCCGCGGGAAGGGACTCAGTACAACTGATGCATAGCAATAAAGCTAAGGGCCGCTCAAGCAGTATAAACAGGGAAAAGGTGGAAGAAAATGAGGCAGTACAAGGAGGTGGGGGAATAAAATGATGGAGATGGCTTTAAAAGTCAGGATAAGAGATATAATGATACCCTATATCTTCAACAGTATTTAAAAATGGGGGTAGGGAAGAAGTATCTCAAGGGGCTGGAGTGCCCATCTGGCATGTAGGAGGCACAGTTTGATCTGTTTGACCACTTGATCCCTCCAGCATAGCCAAAAGCAACTCAGGAGCACTGAGCTGGGAGTAGTCCCTGAGCACAATTAGGATGGCTCCAAAATCAAAATAAGTGAATAAATTAAATAAAAAGTAATTTGTTAGGGCCAGAGAGGAAGCTCATGAAAGCATGCATTCAACCCAGCTTTATTCTAGGCACTCAACAGCCCCCCAAACACCAGGAGTGCCCCCTGAGTATGGAGCAGTCCCTGAGCAGCAGTGGATGTGCCCCCCCAGCCCATCCCGCCCAAGGAAAATGGAAAAGTTATTATTTCATTTGAAAACTGAATTATTTTGCAATCATGTTTTCTTATTTACTTAGAACTGCTTTCTTCCTAAAGCATGTATAAAATGACATAATGGGAGGAACCGTGTCATGATTACAAATGACATCATCAGATACAGATCCTAGGCTGAATTTTCCTACTTTGAGGCTTCCATCTGCGATCTACATCAAAGATTCCATGAAACATGAATGTAGACTTTAATGAATAATTCTAGAATGAACCAGTCATTTAAAAATATTTTTGATTTTAATTTTTATACAGTCATTCACAATTATTACATTCAATATTCCAACACCAATCCCACCACCATTACACCTTCCCACCACCATTATTTTCAATTTTCCCAATCACCACCCAAGCCTACCCCAATAGCAGGCCAAAATGATTCATTTTGAATTGCTTATTATGACTAATTCGCTAAAAATGATGAAAGATTTCCTTAGAAGAAAGTGTGTGAAGACTGCTCTATCTCACCCAGAACAATTAAGTCCCTGTATAACCAATTACTAATATGTTGCTACAGGTTAAGTTTCGTGTTAGTATTTTCTTAATCGAGATTGGTTGCCTCTACTTTACATCCCATCCAATGTAGCGTGCTACTCCTGGTGTATCAGTGGTGTATAGAGTATGAGATGTCACATGGCTGCGAATGTGGCCAGATGCTCCAGGAATTCTAAACTTTTGAATGGGGGTGATAGAGCTGAAGTTAAATCTTTAACTAACTTTGGGGTCCAGAAGCATCTCTGGAGCTTGGTAACCTCTTTTGAGATTTATTCATGCGCCTCTGGATCATGGCCGGTTAATATGAGCTTAAATGGCACCACAGGCAGTTCATGGACCTGACTGCCAGGCTCAGGGAAAACAGGGGATGGGGGGAGGTCATCCATCCCTGATTCCATGAGAGCCTGAAGATTTTTGAACCAGTCATTTTAAAACAAACCGTAAAGGTTAAAAAAATAAATAATATAAAAATAGGCTTAAAAATATATATATAGGTTTCTTGGGTTCTATTAGCATCCAAGAAACCTTTGCTTTATGACATTTTAAAAAAGAGCTTACTTAGTATTATAATCTGTGATAATTATCCATTTAAATGTCAACTAGGATCATATGACCAACCTTTTTATGGGCAAAAGGAATGTTCTCTAGGTCCATATCTAATTTCAATATGGAAATTGAGTGTATGTCCACTTAGAATATATTAACATTCTGTCTAAAGATAGGCAGTGTTTAAGGCACTTTCAATTTTATACAAGATATCTCAAGTAATTTAAAAAAACTATAGAGCTTATAGAAAATGTACATATCTTTTTACATTTTGTGAAAGCAAACCTAATAATAAAAGCGTTAAGATAAAATGCCTTTGATTAGAGTAAAATAAAAGTCATTCAGAAGTTTAGGATCCCATTATGGATTTCATTACAACAGATTAGGTAAAATGAAGAGACTTTTTTGTTTCTATGTGGCTTCTAGTATATGCTTAACACTCAATAAATGTTAAACAATAAAATATGAATTAGGCTAATCACAGATATCTAAAATGTATTTTATTAAATTTGAGCCTACTTAAAATTTTATATTATAGAAACCTGACATGTCACTGATTCATAACCTTTTCCAATATTAAAAATTAAAGCTACAAAACCTAGATTTCTATATCTTTTAAATAAATATTTTAGCAAAAAATTACGAGAAGAGGAAATATGTATGGTCAAAACTGGCTGAACAATATAGTAAAATAAAAAAATTCTTATTAAATTTAGATTATTCTCTAATAGAAAATTCTACAAACTTTGGTAAAGTCATTTAAAATACCCTGGGCAAAGAAGGGAAAGAAATATAACAAACAAAGATGAGATGCACAAAATGTGGATAAAACTAAATGGACAACATAGACAAAAATAACATTTAGAAGTATTAGTCTTTGGCTGTAGTGCATCAGTACCTGAATTATGTGCCCTTTAATTTATTCACATGATGGATAGCTTGTTAAGAAGCGTATCTGTGACCGTCATAATTGATAGTGGCTGAAGGCAGCCAGGCCATAATTTCTCCTTAATAGATGGGACAGTAAGGGAACAAAGTCTGCAGCGGCATTTTAAAATAACTGCCTAGAAAGTTTACATTTATGTTCAAAGTAATACCAATACGCAAGCTTTTGTTGATGAATTCTTGAAGGATTTAGAGAAAAATCAGCTGCGTGGTGCATATATTATTAAATAAAATCTTAATTTAACCAGTAAGTAGAAAAATCTCATAGTAATTGGAAAGAACATTCTACTGACCATTTGATGGCCCAACTGGGCACTCCCGGTCTTTATGTTTTGTGGGAGACGCAAATGGGCTCATTTGACAAGTTCCAGTTGTTGGAGAGTAAGTTGTGAAACTTTTCTTCCTCGTGGTTTCTGAAGGATCAGATGACTGGAAATAGCAATTTGAAACAAAAATACTTACATATACATACTCATTTAGTTAAAAAATACGTTTGAAAATTTTCAAAATTCAAGACAATACAATTTCCTGCTTTCCCTTCAGACCTTAAATATATTTACCTACCACCTTTAAAGAATACACTATTCTTTCAAATTATTTGGGTATTTCAGGACTCCATAATCATTAGAACATCTCCATGAGGTGTCCAGAGGTTACTCCTGGCTGTGGTGCCGGGATTGAACCAGGGTTGGCAGCATCCAAGGCAAGCACCTGAACCCCTCTCTGGCTCCTTGGTTTTACATTTATGAAGCTCTGGCATTAAAAGTGAGATGGTCTTTCTAAATATGCTAAAATTGCTGACTTTTCAATAATGTTCTAACTTTCACTGTCAGCTGAGCCTGGGGTTTGATTATGGGGCTAGACTAAGGAAACTCTAACAGTCTTGTATTAAAACAACAAAGAGGGCTGAAGAGAAAGTACAATAGGGCGCTTGTCTCGCACACAGCCAACCTGGGTTTGATCCCAGCATCCCGTAAGGTCCCGAGAGTGGTTTCTAGAGAACACAGTCTGGAATAAGTCCCGAGCACCATCAAGTGTGGCCCCCCAAACAAACAAAACAGCAGTAACAAAACCAACAAGGCAACCTGATACAGAAGGCCTTTTAAAATTAGCCCTATCCTACACAAATTTTCTCTGCAACTTGGTTCTCTGCATTCCATAGGCCTTATAATATCTCTTACTGGAGCTGACCTGTTTTGTTAATTTTTGCATTATTACCTGCCCATAATGAGCTATCAGAAATAAATTATCACTTCTTCATTTTGTACATTAGGACTAAAAATGTGTGAGTTTATGAGTATCTTAAAAGGGACAGTGGAATAAGGCTGGCCAAGGCACTCTACTAAAAATATATTCACTTGTTCGCTCCTTCACCCACTATTAAATGGCACCTAGAGTCTCAGTCACTGGTTACACTATTTGGGTTTTAGTGCATTCTGGGAACCAAATTCCTTTCTTCCGTTTCCCAAGAACTTTTCATTTTTTTCGATTAGGTGCCCATTCATGATTCACTTACTCGAGACACTTATCATTACTATTTATAAACTCTCCCCTGACCCTGGTGTTGCCATGCTGGGAACAGAACCTGGGGCCTTACGAATGCTAGACGAATGTTCTACTGCTAGGCTCCATGGCTGGTCCTCTTCTGATTCCCTTTAAACTTGTTTTTCAGTAACGCTTACTACCAGTCCGCATTTGCCACAGACTAATTTGCACACACACAAAACAAGAATACATCACTCTGGATGCGTCAATAGCAGAAGAGGTCTTCAGATGGTATGGATTCTACAGGAATTGTGAGGCGTGGGAAAATCAAAGAGGGTGACAGTAATCACACAAAAAGAATACTTGTGAGAAAGAGGGCGTTGGTGGAAATAAGTGAAAACAAAAGTCATGCCAAGTCTGAAATCTAGAGCAGACAGATGGCTTAGAGCTGACTCTGGGGATAAAGGAAGAGTGTCCTGAAGACCCATGACATGTTTCCAACACTACAGTTTAACTTCAGCTTGCGAACGGACTTAAAATAGTGACATAATTCTCCACTGTCAAGTGGTCTTTCGTTTGAAGGTAGCACTGCACTAGAGCACTGTCCTCCCATTGTTCATCGATTTGCTCGAGCAGGCACCAGTAACGTCTCCATTGTGAGACTTGTTACTGTGTCTGGCATATCAAATATGTCACGGGTAGCTTGCCAGGCTTTGCCATGTGGGCGTGATATACTCGGTAGCTTGCCAGGCTCTCTGAGAGGGGCAGAGGAATTGAACCCAGGATGGCCGCATGCAAGGCAAATGCCCTACCTGCTGTGCTATCTCTCCAGCCCACGTTTAAAGGTACCATGTAGAAATAGTAGCTATGTCACCTTTTCCAATAACCTTGGTATTAGGTCCAGAATCTAAAACATAAAACATTCCCTTTAACAGTTAAGATTTTTTTTAACAGTTAAGATTTTAAATGATAAATTCTTCTTTGAATTGGGGACCTACAGACATCTCGTTTTTATTTTATGTATCCACAGTAGCCACAAAAGTAACCGATATCTTTAGAAAAAAAATCAAACTTTATTATCAAGTTATAACTCTAAAGTAGTCTTTGTGTAGGGTGAAAGGGTTTAAGTCTCTTTATCAGGTGGTTATTATTACCTTTCCATCTGGAGTTTTCACCTATTTATATGTATTCAGTCATAAACTATGACATTTATCCAATCCTAGCATACTTTTCCAAGAATTTATTGCCCAGAACTATTTCACTGTGTATGTACAAGAAATGAAAGCCACTACCCTAATGTACATTTATGTCAATCTGTTTTCCTATTTTCACCAAAAAAATTATTTTTCCAATTGCCAAATATCTAAACATTGTAACTGTGGCTCATACATTTCTCCTTGAAAACAATTTTCTGGCTTTCATAAAATAAATCTTTGTGTGTCCACATATGTGTATGTACAAAAAAAAATTTTCCCTCTTCACCTTAAAAACACAGAGGCTCCTTTTGTACTTTCTTTCTGTTGGTCATTTGTGTTGGTTTAAAAGCAAAAATGTATGCCTACCTTTATTACACATGGGGGAAAATTAAAATCTACCCCTTTTTACTACCCTGCTACATATTCTTCAGGAAAAAGGTGCATTTTTGGTATATCTGCCTACTGGGACATACAAGGCGTAATCTGACTTCCTTGTTTCTTTTTTGAACCACCCAGGGAGTGTTCGGGGGGGGCCCAGGCTCATTTCCTGTAGTTGCTGGCCAACAGGGCCAGCGGTTGAATGCGAGGTCCCAGAATATGGTGCTACTTGGGCCCTGCCACACTGGCGATTAGCTGGCCCAGGCAGTGTAGGAGGGGGAAGGGGTTCACAAGCAGAGCCAGCAACGCTGTGGGAACCACGGGTGCTGGGGAAGGAACTGGGAGTCGGCCGGCAAGGCAGGTGCCTTAGCCTCCTGCTCTCTCTGGCCCTGGGCTTCTTCCCCGGTTTCATCGTGGTTCTTTCTTTTTCTTTTGGTTCTCCAACAAAACTGTGATCAGAGGGACATGAGGGCGTCTCCCAGTGTTATTTTGGCTGTGCTGATCCATGGCTGCTGGGGCCCAGGGGCACTGGAGGCCATCAATGCCATACCTGGCAGTGCTGGGGGTGGGCATCCATGTCAGGGATCCAACTTGGGGTCTACTGCACACCCTGAGCTACTCCCCTGAAGTTCTTTCACTTTTTTTTTTTTTTTGGCTTTTTGGGTCACACCCAGTGTTGCACAGGGGTTACTCCTGGCTCTGCACTCAGGAATCACTCCTGGCCGTGCTCAGGGGACCATATGGGATGCTGGGAATCGAGCCAAGTTGGTCGCATGCAAGGCAAATGCCCTACCGGCTGTGCTATCGCTCTAGCCCCAAGTTCTTTAACTTTTAAACCCTGAAGATGCCAAGAAGTGACTGGAGAGCCCAGCTAAGAATGTCTGTTCTGTCATCCCCCAAGCATTGAAGGACCGGCCTACTCATCAGTCTCTCACAGGGGGAAGTTAGGGCTGGGATTTGAGAGGCGACTAAACTACTAACTGGGAACTCTGCACTGTTCCCACTCAGCAATGATGAGTACCACCTACCAGCTCCTTGGCGAGAGAAAGGGACACAGTGAAAGAAGAATAGATATAATTAGAGGAGAGGAAGTATTCAGGACACAAACAGAAGATAAGGCAACAGAATCAGTCAAGACATGACTACTTCAACAATAATTTATAATTGCTTACAATACTTACTGTCTCCTTAGAGATATTTAATACTGCTAAAAAAAAAAGGTCAAAATACCAAGTTCTAAAATTCTCTGATCAGCCCAAATATCACTGTACATTTTGTAAGAAGTTCAAACCTTACACATTAGCAAAACTAAAATTTGGGCACTGATTTTTCTGACTTAAATTTAAAAAAAGAAGAAATCAATATAGTCGTCATAAATTCAAATATATATGGCATTCTCCTTCTATATCGTTCACAAATTGTAGCTTGCTCTGTCACCTTGTTTAAAGCATATTCTACCAAAAGGTGGCTGCATTTCATTGATTTTTTTAACCTATAATAAACAATCTAGAAAGTACTAACTAAGGGTTCTTTCAGGATAAAATATGAGATACAAAAGATCTGCTATTACTATGAACTACTAGAATATAGGCTATTGGATACTATAGGCATTTGACAACCAGAAACAAAAGAAAGATTGGAGGACCCAAAGGGGAAAATTATAATCTCACTTTGGTTAAGTGTGTGGCTGAAGTCTCACTAAAGATATTAGGTATTCCTTATACTAATTATGGAATTCACATGGAAACATCTGAGTAGCTTTTCCGTGCAGAGAGTGCTCTCACTAGTGTGGTGAATGTCCCTATAACCCACAGCACTGTTTGCCAGCAGCCTGGCATAGTACAGGAAAGGCAAGAAGGTCCAGAGAGATAGTACACAGGGTAAGGCATTTGGCTTGCACACGGCCAACCCGGGTTTGATTCCCCATTATCCCATATGGTCCCCCAAGAACACTAGGAGCGATTCCTGAATGCAGAGCCAGCAGTAACCTAATCCTTAAGCACCACTGGGCGTGGCCCCAAAACCAAAAACCAAAAACCAAATGGCAAGGATTCCCTGGCACAGGGGTGTAACGGGAAGCAGCGTGATAGGAGCCAGACTAAGCCAATCCTCCAGGAAAAGGCTGAGACTGTGAAAGATTATGCTGAAGCCTGAACACACTGAGTCCAACTGCAGACCTTAGAGACTGCTGGCCATGAAGAGATGCAGCACTGGAATTGGGAGGAGAAACAAAGAGCCAGGTGACCAAGTCCTAAGCCTCATCTTTTATTAGAGAGGTAATAAAATCCTCACTTGGTTGCCATTGATTTGGTGGGCGGGAAGTAAAGTAGTGACACCAATAAAGTTTCCCATGTGGGAAAATTTGCTTAGAAACAAGTCCCCAAAAGTATAAGTATTAGTTATCTCAGACTTTTGATAATTTATGCACAGGGTTCCTAGAGGAGTCCTACATCGCTATTTCATCAACAGTCACAACTAGCTTTTATAGTTCTGAAAAATTGGGGGGATTTGTGGTTAATTTTAATGGTATTTAAAGCAACAAAAGCATTCACACTTACTTCAGTACCTGTACAAGCAGAATGAGTATGACCAACATATTGGTGATGGAAAGGAAACATGATTGATAGAAGCTGGATAAAAATCACTAAATTGTATACTTAAGGTCTGTAAATTTCACAATAAATTTTACTTGAATGAAAACTTTAATAAAACATTGCTGAAATTTTATACACTGACGTTTCTTTGATGTTCCACAATGCAATATTCCATGGTTGTTTCATATCATGCTTTCACTGAGTTCATATTTATTTATTTTTTCTTTTTATATTTATTTATTGAATCACTGGGGAAAAGTCACAAGGCTTTCAGGTTTAAGTCTCGGTCATACAATGATCAAACACCTTTCCCTTCACCAGTACTCATTTTTCAACACCAAGAACCCTAATATACCCCCCTCCTACTACCCCTCGCAATGCCTGTGAGGCAGATGATTTCTACTTAACTTTTCTCTACATTGAATACATTCATTATTTTGACAAAAGATGCACCATTATAGTTCAGAATCCCCCCCCCCCAACAATCAGAATTGCTGAAAAGGCATTATGAAATACTTTGTTTTCTATAGCTGGTATGAAAATCATATAAGGTTATATAATGATTTTGGATTTCTACAAAGAGCTAGATAATTACGAGATTGGTTTCTGTGTATCTGGTGTTATGGCTGTGCCAGAGAGCCACTCGTGGGGGGCAACTCGTGACCTCGGTAGGTCATGAAGAACGAGCCAGTATCGCTCCCCTTCCCATGAGATTGCAGTTGCCCCGTCACCACTGGCTCATACCTAGCTTTCCTATAAGCTCTGAGGCGGTAGCCACCTTGCTGCTGAGGGGGGAAAAGGCGGAAGAGAGCAACACCCTTTCCCTCCCAGGGAGGCATGACGCCGTAGTTTAACGCATGGACCATTCACTTTTCTGCTGCAAGCAGTCGGGCTCTGGACTAGGTCCTTTTGCCTCTAGAGCCATGGCTGTGCCAGAGAGCTGTTCGTGGGGGGACAACTCGTGACCTCGGGAGGGCGTGAAGGATGAGCCAGTACTGCCCCCCTTCCCATGAGACTGCAGTTGCCCCGTCACTGCCGGCTCATACCTGGCCTTCTAATAAGCTCCGAGGCAGTGGCCACCTTGTATGCGGTCCAGATGCATTTCTGCCAAAAGTCACTGGGTTTCAAGATTTGATTCTGAGTCTCTGGGATCATGGCCATTAATCTGCTTGATCAGGAGTCTGAGAGGCCGTTTGTAGGCGGTGACTCAGGGTCTTGTTGGGATGGGGAGGAAAGGGTCGGTTCCACCCCCCATCTGGTGAGGTCCCGTGTGTCTCGTCACTGCAGGCCCAAACTTGACTGTCCAGTGGCCTCTGGAGGACGGCAGTCACCGGGCTGCCAGGGGGAACAGGCCAAGTCATGAAACCTATTCCCACCTGGAGTGGCCCAGCACCAGTAACCTACTGCAGGAACAGGACGCATTTCTGCCAAAAGCCTATGGGTTCGAGATTCGTTTTTGAGTCTCTGGGATCATGGCCATTAACCAGTTTGATCAGGAACCAGAGAGGCCATTCCTCCAATTATATAGCTGAGACGAAGGTGGTTTGTCTCCTACATACCTAACTTTTGGCCGTTTACTTTCTTGGTAAATTTTGCCCCAAGTTTTTGGGGTCTTGCCAAAGGCACAGCAGCAATTTTGGGGTATCTGAAAGTCTGACGGTGCCATCAGTACCTGTGAGGCGACATCAGCTGCCTGAGTTCATATTTTTAGAATATTAATTTTACCTCAAACATTACTTCTATTCACTGAAGTGTGGTTTACATACAATTAAAATGCACAGATCTAAACTATTCAGCATGAGTTCTGACAACTGTCTATGCTAATAAAAACAATACCCCAAAATACACTATACCTCTGCTTCCCAACCTAAAGGAAACCAAAAGGAAAATGACATTTATACCCGAAAACAGACAACTGGTTAAAGAAACTTTGGTACATCTACACAATGGAATACTATGCAGCTGTTGGGAAAGATGAAGTCGTGAAATTTGCTTATAAGTGGATGGACATGGAGAGTATCATGCTAAGTGAAATGAGTCAGAAAGAGAGGGACAGACATAGAAAGACTGCACTCATCTGTAGCATATAAAATAACATAAGAGACTAACACTCAAGGACAGTAGAGACAGGGGCAGGAAAATTACTCCACAGCTGGAAGCCTGCATTATGAGCTGGGGAAGAAGGCAGCTGGGACAGAGAAGGGATCACTTAGTCAATGACGGTTGGAGGGATTGCTCAGGATAGGAGATGTGTGCTGAAAGTAGATAAAGGGACAAATATGATGGCCTCTCAGTATCTGTATTGCAAACCATAATGCCCGAAAGTAGAGAGAATAAGAGGGAAACTGCCATAGAGGCCGGGGGAGGGGTGGGATGGGGGATGGATACTGGGGACATTGGTGGTGGAAAATGTGCACTGGTGGAGGGATGGGTGTTCAATCACTGTATGACTGAAACTCAAACATGAAAGCTTTGTAACTGTATCTCATGGTGATTCAATTAAAAAAGAGAGCGAAAAATGACATTCATGGCATCAGGAAGCTTTCATATCTAGGAAGGCTTAGAGGTTGCACTTGGAACACTGGGAGCTGAGAGTCACAATGATCCCCGGGAGAAAGAGCTGTAGGCAAAGACAAACAGACTCCACTTCAGCCAACTGGCATGTCAGGATCATCATATTGGTTAGGCCAAACAGCCAGTTATTAGCAGTTCCCCTACAGCATCATAGCAATTATGTTCTTTTAGAAGTTACAAGTATGTGGATTGATTGTCTGATTTTCCTTTGTTTGGGATATTGCAGTCTCAGTGAAACTCCTGGCTGTTGATCTATTCTGGGGAGTCTGGTTGATTTAGGGCTAGGTTGTTATCGGGAGTTAATGAAAACATGGATGGAGCTTAGGAGAGAAACTCCAGATTTACATCCAGGATAAAGCAAACAAGTCTAAGATGTGGAAATAGGGCTACGAACAAATATGAAAGTTGAAAAATATCAGGAAGTAAGAGAAATACTGAAGAAAGGCCCAGGATCGTTGGTTTGGAACCTGGCTTTCGGCAAGGGGCCACCACATGGTACCAAGTCAGTTGGTTTAAAGCTACAGAGACGGGCCAGCATCAGAGCTCAAGGGGCTGCAGCGTATGTTTTGCATGCAGGAGCCCAGGTCTGACCCTCTCACCACACGTTCCCTTGAGTACCATGGGGAGTCACCTCTCCAGCACTGAAATGCATGGCCAAACCATTCCCCCCGAAACCACCCCCTCCCTCACTTCCCCCTAAAAGCCCCCAAGATACAGAATTGGGTCTAACATAATAATGCATTTTTCCAGTACAGAATACTAGCTATGGCACTGGCTACCTTGAAACATCTTATTGTGAAGAAAAAAAAAACGGATAGAAATTTGCCATGAGGACAATGGCACTTTATGAAAAGGATGAATTCCTCCACGGCCATTCTTTTTCATTCAAATGCTGTTACAATCTCCCAAAGAACAGTTTTTAGGCAGGAGAGAACAGTATTTCATTTCAAGCTGGACTACTCATCTACTAAAATACCATTCTGACCAAAGAAACAGATGCAGAATTACAGTCACAGCTGCATTCAGTACAAAACAAGTTGGATAATGGTACTCTAAATTGCTAATTGCAGCGCTAATGATTTTTTCAGTGGCACTGCAGTATTTTGTCACCTTTGTTTAAATTTTTTTTAAAAAAAACATGAGAAATTCTTAAAATGGTAAAGTGTTAAATACCTGTGAGTTGCCAAAAGAAAAATTCATAAAGCTCAATAATGGCATTCTCTTATGGAATTTTGTAAGAGCCAATCTACTGACTAGTTATTTGTTTTAATTTACATTCTCACCAATTCAATTGTACTCAGGATTACTGAGGCTATAAGTATCTTGGTATCAGTGTTTGTACCTAGATCCATAGTTGGTATGAAACAATAATAAACTAACATATGTCATGATAGGCTGGTGTTGGGAATGTGTTATGACTAAATTTATATATAAAAAAAATAATAGCAAGAGTACAGTTCTATTTTTACCATGACAACCACAGTGAAATTTATTGCAGTGTTTTCATTTTATTGTTTAATCATGCCAGAATAGCTGAGGGAGGTAATTACATTTTGGATATAAATGTACTGTTAATGTTTGTATTTCAATTTAGCAGATTGTACAATAAAGATTAAAGCAATGCTTTTGTTCCTTTTTTTGTGTGTGTACAGTTAAGTGGCAGAAATTGTTTTCTACAGAGTTGACTTCTCCCAAATTATTTCTACATAATTTCTTTTTAAATTATGAAATCAAGACCCTCGAGTTGGTTACAAACGTTTATATATTTCACTTATAAAAAACTTTAAAAAATTAACTTATTGAATCACAGTGAGATAGTTACAAAGTTGTTCATGATTGGGTTTCAGTCATATAATGTTCCAACTTCACCAGTCTACACTTCCCATCACCGATGTCCCCAGATTCCCCTCCCATCCCCACTCCTTCCTCCCACCTGCCACTCTGGGAGACATTCTTCTCCTTCTCTCTCTGCTCCCCCCCTTTCTACGGGGGCATTATGGTTTGAAATTCAGATACTGAAAGATAAATAACTCTTTTATAAGCAGGAAATAGTGTATTATTTCTGATAAGCTTAACTTACAAAAGGTGAATCAATAGCAATCTCTATGCAATTATACACTTATAAGTACTTACATTTTCTCCTAACAGATCCAATTTCAGTGATCTTTTAACACTGCAAAGAAAATATTTAAAAGAAATTTCAGAGTTTATATGCTTTAAGTAGCCAAATATTTACAGGTAACATATTGAACAGAGTTTCTAAGCTTCTTTCCTTCCCCTTTTCTTTCCCTGGATCTCACCAGCAGGGAGCCCAGTCAACTCCCAGCAGCACTTGGTCAGCTGGGTTAGCAGCTCAGTGCTGGTTCTGTGTGTTTTGAAATAGCACCAGGGCCCGGAAGAAGGCTCAAAGGGTGAGAGCACATGCTTTGCAAGCTGGAGGCCTGAGTTTGACATCTAGGACCACATGATTCCTAGAGCACTGCCAGAAGTGACCCCTAAGCACTGAAGTGGAAGGACCCCTTAGAAAACACTGCCAGGTTACGGTGTGAAACCCCCCCCCCAAATTAAATAACCCCCAAATTAAAATAGTACCAATAAAACCACATATATAAACAAAGTATTTGCTATACTGCTGGTGAAATTGAAAGTGTATTATTTTGCACAGAAATAACGCATGGAGGGTTAAAATAAAGGCAAGTATCTAAGTAAGCAAGGTGAAAAAGTTTTACACACTATTCTAGCTTTAAACATGATTCAATGCTACCAGACTATGACTTAATGCAGGAACAGATGCTCTATGCCTTTATAAGTCCCCAATCCACAAGAAACTATTTTTTGTCTCCTTCACTGAACTGATTCAGGAACACGCGAGCCTCTCTCTGTGCAAAATCTGTTGTGCTAAACTCGATGCCCAGCTGTTGGTGGCAACGCTTAGAAAGGAAAGCCGAATATTTACAATACTTTATTTCATACAGCTGTCTTCTAAAGAGCAGTCATCAACATTTTATTGAATGCAGGCTAAATGTTCAAAGGAGAAAAAGGTCGATATAAATTAGAGTCAGTTTTTCCAGAGACAAAGGCAGTACTAAAAGTATTTTCTTGATCACTAAGAAATAGAAATTGAGTTATTTAAAAGTATTCGAGAATCTGAGCTCAAGCAAAAAGTAGAAGAAAAAATTACTGAAGAAAAAATATTTATAGATCCTAAAAAATAATTGAACAGTGACTTTAAGACAGATGACAGGAGCAAGGGGAAAAAAATAAAAATTTAATGAACAATTTACAAAAATTTCTAAGCTGCTGATATAAAAATCTGACCAAGTTAAAAAGGGCTCATTGACTTTTTACATCTGTTAGCCTATCAGAGAGTATTTTTCCCTGAGATTAATTAAACCATTTAAAGAATTAGTTTTATTGAACATATTAGTGATCTCTTATAGAAGGGCGTAATGGCCTCTAGGTGCAATACAATAATCTCCACACTCTTTCCTGTGAAGATACTCTTTTGTAGCATTTTCAATGGTTTTTCATAACAAACAACACAAAATATATTATTTTGGTTCTACTTTGGGGCAGGGATTTGGGTTCAGAATTGAAACACCCGAAATGCTGTGGTGGGAAGGTGTAATGGTGGTGGGATTGGTGTTTGAATATTAAATGGAATATTGTGAATTACTTTATAAAATTTTAAAAAATTTAAATAATTAGTTTTATCTTGCAGAAGTCCACCTGAAATCAACTTAACGTGAATTCTCAATAAAGGAGACTTATATAAATTAAAATGGCAGATAATCCAAGTTTCGTATTTATCTTTCATATATATATAAAAGTTTCAAACGTATGTGCATATGGACATATGTGTGTATATATTTACTGAAGCAACATTAAGTTTCAAACATACATTCATTACATGCCACATCTTTTTGTTTGTTGGGGGGCCACACCCAGGGGTTGCAGAGGCAACTCCCAGGTCAGTGCTTGTTTCGGAGGGGTGGCGGGGCCACAGTACCTGTAACCACCCTGGCCCCAAGCACGGAAAGCGTATACACTGGCCCTTTGAGCCGCCACTCTGGTCCTTAATCCCACATCTCATTCTGCATGAGAGAAGCCTCCTAAGCAGTGTGCACTGGTATAAAAATTTTCAGTGCTATCAGCATTATTGCTGATGAGAATTTATAAAAGTATAACAACAGGAACAGAAAATAACCATAGATGTTACTTATATTGCTCTATGAATTTTAAACTACTCTTAATTTTAAAATCAATTCAGCTTTATTTTTTCAGGGCTGAAACTCAGTCTGGCTGGGTTCTCACATGCGAGGCATGCATGTCCCATACTTTGTTTAACTTAGTACATGACAGTTTCCTGGACAGGAGTCACTGAGTCATCAGCACAGAACAAATGGATGGGCCCAATGATAACATTAATAACAGCAGTAACCATCATCATTTGATTCCAAATTAAGAACAGGAACTACAGCGCAAAAGCTGACAAAATTATGTGACATGATGTCCTTATGTAAACATAACTATAACTTTTATGACATAAATATAACTTTTCAAAATACAATTTTTAATAGCAGAACCAAGATGAGAGTATGTGTGTTGTGGGGGTGGGGGAATAAACTTCGAAAAGCAGATAAAACTCCAGGAGCTTAATGCTATGCCAAGTTCTTCCCCTAAGGTTGGGCAAATCATATAATATGCATAAGCTTTAGAAACCTGCTAATAGGGGCCAGAGAGATAGCACAATGGGTAGAGTGCTTGCCTTGCACACTGCTGACCAGGGCTCGATCCCTGGCATCCCATGCGGTTCCCCAAACCATATCCCATGCAGTTCCCCGAAAGAAATGATACCTGAGTGCAGAGCCAGGAGTAACCCCTGGGCACAGGTGTGGACCAAAAACAAAAAAACAAAAACCCGGGGCTGGAGTGATAGCACAGCGGGTAGGGCTTTTGCCTTGCACGCAGCCAACATGGCTGACACAGGTTCGATTCCCAGCATCCCATATGGTCCCCCGAACACCACCAGGAGCAATTCCTGAGTGCATGAGCCAGGAGTAACCCCTGGGCATCGCCGGGTGTGACCCAAAAAGCAAAAAAACATCTAGAATGTCAGAGTTCCCATTTTCTCTATGATCAAGATTATAATACTGCTGGCTACAACTTCATATAACAGTGTTTAGAGGATTTCTAGTTAGCTTGTGAGAAACTTGGAAGCTCTCTGATGAAAGGCAACGGGTAAATTACACTGCTATGTAACTTCTTAGGTGCAAAGTGAGGTATCTGAAATTTTTTGTTTTTCATTCTATGTATGGGAATGCTCAAGGGGGAAAGATTTCCTATGCTGTTTTCCCATTCTTCCTTTCAGTCAAGCCTTATAAACCTTTGTGTTCAACACTCCTACAGGACAGAGAGTAACTCACTATCCTAAGTGGGAAGCATCACTGCATGCAAAAATACAACATCAATAGGAGAGCACCTAAATAGAGTTGTCTCAGGCAACTAGTCCCCATGAAGAAATCTGTCAAAATCCTGACCAACTACCATGCAACTCGGGTATTTTATATCAAAAACTTCCATGTCAAGAGATAACTATTAGTTGAAGAATTCTTCCAAAAATTAAGAAAAACAAATATTGATCCTAAGTAAATGCACGGAGTTAAGATGTTCCTATGGTCAAATAAAAGAAGAAATGCCCTAAGATGATTACTCAGTGGGTATTCTATAATAAACATTAATATTCATTAATATTCTTTCTGCCAGAAGCCTAAATACGTGCATATCTAGCACAGCGGTAGGGCGTTTGCCTTACAAGCGGCCAACATGGCCGACCCACGTTCGATTCCTCCGCCCCTCTCGGAGAGCCCGGCAAGCTACCGAGAGTATTCGATATGCCAGACACAGTAACAACAAAGTCTCCAATGGAGACGTTACTGGGCCCGCTCGAGCAAATCGACGATCAACGGGAGGGCCTTTACCTTTACCTTATCAATATCATACATAAATGGATCTAAGTCTAGGGGACAGGGAAATAGGGGGTTAGAGCGCAAGCTTTGCATGCAGAAGGCCCAAATTCAATCCCTGGCACTGCATATGGTCCCGTGAGCATGAAGAAGGGAGTAGCCCTTGAGATGTGGCCACAGAAGTTTCCACTGAAGGGCCAGAGAGATACTACAGTGTGCAGGGTGCTTGCCTTGCATGTGGTTGACCTGGGTTCAATCCCCGCACCTTAAATAGTACCCCAAGTCCGAGCACTGCCAGGTATGGCTCCCCCAGAAAGAAAAAAAAAAACAAGAAAAAGAAGTTTCTATTAAAAGGATTCAAATAGTTCCATTAGTATTAAGTATGGCAAATGAGTGATACTTTACGTACTTTTTGTTTGTTTGTTTTTTGCTTTTTGTGTCACACCCAGCAATGCACAGGGGTTACTCCTGTCTCTTCATTCAGGAACTACTCCTGGAGGTGCTTGGGGGACCATATGGGATGCTGGGAATCAAACCCGGGTCAGCCGTGTGCAAGGCAAACACCCTACCCGCTGTACTATCACTCCAGCCCCAATACTTTTTAGTATGTATTGCTTTACAATACACAAATTTAACAGATGGCGGCCCTACTCTTGCAAAAAACATGTTGGAAAAAAGTGTAAAAAACATGCAAAAACAAGTTCAACATGCAAAAACATGTTGAAGAAGTTTTTCCCTAACTCTGTCCGGAGACTGCACTAAGGACCTTAGAGCACGTGTGCATTTCCTCTCTGTGATTCAGTAAAAAGCATGCAAAAGTAAGATATCACTTATGTTTATGATTGTTCATTGTATGTACCTAACATTCCTAGAACCTATTTATTGTGAAACGGAAAGTTTATTCCTTTGAGCACCTTTCTTTAATTTCCCTCATGCATGACAACCTGTTCTATTGTTCCCATGAGTTTGTGTATTTTGAATTCCATATAAAAGTGGTATCAGAATAGATGTCTGTCAGACTTATTTCACTTGAGAAATCAAATATGTTTAACACTCTGTTGTGGTTAACTACAACTTTAAACATATTTCCAAACTACATTTTTTGTTTGTGGGCCACACCCAATGACACTCAGGAGTTACTCCTGGCTCTGTACTTAGGAATTACTCCCGGTAGTGCTCAGATCATACTGGATGCCAGGGATTGACCCCAGGTTGGATGCATGCAAGGCAAGCACTCTACCTGCTTTAAAATCTCCGGCCTCTCCCAGACTATCTATTTTTCACTCGCTCTCCCTACCTTCTATATCTCTGGTGTCTCACTTACACTTTTATGTCATATGTACTTTATTATAACTTTAATTTTTCTACTTGTCTCTTTTAAAAGTCTTCAAGTTTGCTTTGTGATTTATCCACTACTTTTACTATACAATTATCTTTTCTAGTGTTTTTCTCCTTCTTCAGGTATTTTTTATTAGCAGTCATTTCTTTCAGGTTTAAGTAAGTATGTTTTTGAACATTTCTTGAAAAAAAGTGGTTAGTAGGTAATGAACTCCTTAAGCATTTGCTTATCCTTGTTTTTCTTTGGGGGCCACATGCGGCGATGCTCAGGGGTTACTCCTGGCTCTGCTTGGCCAAGTGAGGGGAAGAAGGATGAAGCTCTCAGCAGGGCTCACCCAAAGTTTTTAGGCATCTAGAGGTCTCTAACATGGCATCCAGAGCCTTGTGCTGCAAAATTAGTGCCCTACTGCTGAATACACCCCGAGAATGGACCCCACAGAATTACTGGCATAGACAGTTTTCTTCAACAAGAATACTAGACCAAGCTTATAACCTTAGTTCAATTTATAAATTGAATAAGACAAAATAAAATTAATTCCCACAGGAGGAGATGGATTTCCCTGGGTTAATTAGTATGACTTGAGCCATACTAGTTAGGAAGGAAAACTGAGCAAGTGAAAGCAGGTAGCTTTGTAAAGGAAAAGATGTAAGAGAACATCGGCAGACAGGGATCTGATGATGGTCCTGGTGTTGCTATATCAATATTATCTCACTCCTTCCTCCCCAACACATTTTTTTACCGGTCTTTGAAATTTCTATAGGGTAGCAATAAGATGTCAGAAATCCAGAGTTCAGTGATTCCCCACCACTAAGCAGTTCCTAATGTAACTGTCTAAGATGCCTTGCTTAAGAGTTGGGATTCAGGGGGCTGGAGCGATAGCACAGCAGGTAGGGCATTTGCCTTGCACAAGGCCTACCCAAATTCGATTCCCAGCATCCCATATGGTCCCCTGAGCACCGCCAGGAGTAATTCCTGAGTGCATGAGCCAGAAGTAACCCCTGTGCATCGCTGGGTGTGACCCAAAAAGAAAAAAAAAAGAGTTGGGATTCAGTGCCAGCCATCTTGCCAGTAGCGAAAATGGTTCAGCATCACATTTCTAGGAATTACTCCTGGTGGTGCTCAGGGGACCATATAAAATACTGGGAATTGAACCCAGGTCAGCTGTGTGCAAGGCAAATGCCCTACCTGCTGTGCTATTGCTCCAGTCCCCCAACATCACATTTTTAAAAGAACATGATACCACTGAATCTTCACAGTCTGACCTGGACTGTGAACTCTGAGGCCTTCTTGGGATGAGGGTAGGTAGACTCCCCTTTCTGCCTGAAGGCACAGCAGCCCACAGCCATACCTGACATCTGTCAACACAGAAAGGGCACAGCCTCAAATCTACTCTAAAAAAAAAAAGACAATCAACTGAATCTTCCCAGATGATCTCAGTCTAAGGACTGTAAACTATAGGGGTATTCTTGGAATGGGGGCGGGCCAAATCTCCCCACCCACTATGGAAAAACCCAGCAGCTCCGACCCCTGACCCGGCCACCTGGCTGGTAGAGAAGCATCCCTGCCTGAAGACATAGCAGACCACAGCCATACCTGAGACTTTCTGACATAGAAACAGTTCCACTCAACTGAACCTCACCAAACTGCCAAACTGTTCTAGACCTACAGCAGTCCACACGGTGGCTTATGACCCCTCAAAACTTCATAGTATTGTAAGCCCGGTAGGATCATAGCAAATCTGATTAAAGAATTGCACAGAAGACCACCAAGCTGAAGGAGACTACACAGTAACACAGAAGGCTCAACCAGCGCTAAACAGCACAGTAGACCCTCTGACAATGACTTTAGTAACATCAGTGTGAAACACAGCAATCACCACAAATGGACTCTTACTGATCTAAGATCTGATCATCACATTTGTCTTTGTGTTGCAACAAACAAGAAGTAAATGTATCTGCACCTACAAGGGTGCACGCAGGGGTGGTGGGTGGGAAACTGGGGACATTGGCAGAGGGAAGGTGACACCGCTGGTGGGATTGGTGTTGGAATATTTAATGCCTGAAACAACTGCAGTATGAGCAATTTGGTAAATCAAGTGTCATTATAAAAAAAATTTTTTAGGAGCTGGAATTCGGGTCTCGAGAGACCCACCACTCCACAGTGCTTCCACATTAGCATGATCTCGCCTTCCTAAGGAAGGCACTACAAAATTTCATCACATGACAAAGCGCCTTCCCATCTCCTTTGATCCACTCTCAGCACATCAATCCAGTTTTGCACCTACTGTCAGCATCGCTCACAAAGCCCCTACCCCACCTCCATCCACCAGAGTGAGAAATTAAGTGGCCCAGGACTAGGGGCTGAGTCCTGATGTCAAAGTCACACCGGTGGGTTGCAGGTACCAAGCATCGCAATAGTTCAAAGAGGAGACAGGCTTATTATATTCAACAAAAAAGGAGACTGGGTGACAAAATAGGCTCCCAGAGGGGCCCAAGCACCGACGATAGCTGGGGAGGAGAGACTTACGGCATTTTGAGGCCCAAGAGAGCACACCCAGTTGCCGGCGAAGACCCGCAGAGCAAGATGCTCCGAAAACAGAGATACTTGCTAGGAAAAACGCGGAAATCCGAAAAGCGCGGGCAGCGCTGTGCTACACTCTACGCGGCCCGCCGGAAACAAAGTCCACGCAACCTGGAGCCGAGGGGCTGCGGGCAAAGGAAAGGTGTGGAAGCGGGATCCACGCCCAGGGACGCATTCAGCCTCCCTTGGGGGAGACCCAGGACCATCACACACAAACCTAGCCGAAAAAAAACAGCCTGATGACAACCAAGAGGAGCAACCGAGCGCCTCGTCGGCTCTGGCTCGACGCGCTCAACATTTCTGGCCGGACTGTTTGGGCCGGTGCTCCACTCGGACTTCCGGGGATGGAGAGGCGCGGTTGCCATGGTGATGGATGCGGGGCCCGGGGCTGTCGGGCGGCGGTGAGCTGGACCGCCGGCTCCCTGGGGCAGAACTGGTCGCGCCGCCGGGTCCAGGAGCTGGAATTAGGTAGCAAACCGCTGAGTGCGGGGTCCCCTCGCCCCCTGACTCATCTCCTCCCGCCTGATTGTTCGCCTCCGCTGCCAGGCCGCCCGCCGTCCGGGCTGCACCAGTAAACGGTACCTGTCGGGGCGGGTGTCCGAGGGTGCTCGCCGGAGGATGCTCGCCCGCAGCGGCGCGCGCCTCTCCCGGGGACCCGCGGTGCCCGCACAGCGCGGTTTCCGCCTGGCCACCTAGAAGCCCGAGGCACTGGCTCACTCACAGTTTATCTTTCTTGCTACTGTGTAGCTGGTTATTTATGGAGCCGTTCACCCCCTCGTACTCTCCCCACCGCTGTCTTGGTGTAGGGCTGGAGTTTTAAATGAAGATTTCCCCCCTGCATCTCGCCACCCCCCGCCAGCCTGGAGCCTGGGGAGTTGGGGGGCGTGCAATTATATTCTTAATTTATGGTGCGGTTGTTGTCTTGATCTCCGAAAGGGAAGGAATTGAATTTTGCAATATTTCTGCAAGAGGCGGGTGGGGTATCTATTTTTATCTGTTTTGCATAAAGCCATTTGAGGACCATCCTTTAAAAAAAATGCACATTTGAAAATTACTTGTTGCAAAACGAGCCTTCTGGTTCCCTGATCAGGACCAGTTTTCTTGCGCGTGTGTGAGGATGTGCGTGCAAGCCGAGGGGTTGGAAGTTCGGGGGCTTAATTGCAGCGATTCCAATTTGCAGGAAGCAGACTGTGACTCCGTGTCCCCGTGGGGTCCTTCAAAGTCGGTGTAATAGGAAAGTGTCAGGCAGGCGGCCCGTGTCTTATAAATAGGGCACTTGGCCCGTGCTAAGTGATGAGGATCTTTCCTTCCCCGGTGTCGAAGACTCTATAATGCAAGGAGGTGCGAGTGATTTAGGCCATCAGAGCAAGTCGCCAGGGAGTCCTGGTCTTGGTGAACTTGAAACACTCCATTCGTTGACTGGGGGTGTATTTTAGAAGTCCAAGCAGAGTGAAATAATGTCGGAGGCTTTTTGCCCCAGCACGATTTAGGGACTTAACCTCGCTGTCATTCAAGAGCCTTCACACTCCCTTAAGAAGGGAGAAATGTACTGAAATATGCCGTGTTTGGCTCCTGACTTACACCGGGTGGCATAGTGACATCTCTGTCACCCCCCCAAACCAGACAAGCAGTACCTAGTCTGTGCATGTAGGATGCCGTCAGGTAGTTTGGCCGTTCTTGAAAGCATTTTTGAGCAGAGGTGCTAGGTCATCCAAAATACTAATCCTAGCAACTGCCTAGCGGAGAGAGCTCATGATAATTTCCAGAAGTAGGATTTTTAAAAGTAAAGCCATTGGGCCTGAGGGATAGAACAGTGGGTAAGGCACTTGCCTTGCACAAGAGCGACCTGGGTTGGATCCTTGAGCACTGCCGGAAGTAATTCCTGAGTGCATGAGTGCGGAGCCAGGAGTAAGCCCTGAGCACAGCTGGGTATGCACCCTTCCCCCCAAATCCTGCCATTGAAAATGAGGGACTTTGGGGGCTGGAGTGATAGTACAGCAGGTAGGGTGTTTGCCTTGCACGCGACCGACCTGGGTTCAATTTCCTGTATCCCATATGGTCCCCCGAGCACCGCCAGGAGTAATTCCTGAGTGCATGAGCCAGGAGTAACCCCTGAGGGATGCTGGGTGTGACCAAAAAAGCAAAAAAAAAAAAAATGAGGGATTTCCTTCAGGATATGGCAGTGGTATGACCTTGTGGATTGTGGCTGGATGGGGCATGCTCATTGCCAGGCAGGTTCTAGGTAAACCCACACTTCTCTGTTGCCTCCCTGCAGCTGCTCACTGGCTATGTGCCAGGCACTGTGCTGTAGTTTTCAACTTCATTGGTGTTAGTTTATATAATCCTGAAACAACTCAACCAGGTGGATCAACTGTCCTCACTTTAATTTTTATTTATTTTTGTTGTTGTTTTGGGGTCATACCTGGCTGAGATCAAGGCTTGCTCCTGGCTCTGAGCTCAGTTATCACTCCAGGCAGCGTTGAAGGGACTGTGAGTATTTGGTATTCGGTGCTGGGGATGGAACTCAGGGGAGCTGCATGCAAGTCTTACCAACTGAGTTGGTTTTCCAGCCCCTTATTTTGAAAGAGTAGCACAATAGCACCGTCCTCCCGTTGTTCATCAATTTGCTTGAGCAGGCACCAGTAACATCTCACAACAAATTGTGAGACTTGTTGTTACTTTTTTCTGGTATATTGAATATGTCATGGGTAGCTTGCCAGGCTTTTCCGTGCGGGCAAGTTGAAAGAGTAAGTGCAAAATTTTCTGGGGTCCTGGGATATACGGCAGGTAGGGCATTTGCTTTGAATACAGCCTGTCCGAGTTGGTATCCCTGGCACCCCTTATGGTCCCCCAAGCCCCGCTGGAATGATTCCTGACTGCAGAGCCAGAGTAAGCCCTGAGTGCCTCAGGATATGGCCCAAAAACCAACAACAAAAAAGAGTGTGACATTTTTCTTGCCCTGTGATTCTTTTATTATATCTTGTTTTGATTTTCTTTTTTTTGGCTCAATCTCATATATCATATATGTGTGTGTATATATATATATAATTTTATCTGCCTAAGGCATGCTAACACAACCATGTGCATATTATAATATTCAGCTTTTTGTCCCATCTATAAACACTTTGCTGTCTTGACCACCACCTTCCACCTCCTCCCCCACTCCTTTTGAAACCCAAATAAACATTTGTATTTTAAGGGATTACCATCACTAAAACAAATTTTCTATTTTTTTAATAGAATGGCCATCAATCCAGGAAGCGATACATCTTTCTCCAGCCAGAAAACAGAAACTGCTCGAACCAAAAAATGCCCACCCACTGAAGAGGAGATATTTTACAAGAATTGTAGAGCTGCCTACTTAACTGTTTTCAAAAGCAGTTTAGAAAACATTGTTTCTAAAGATCAACTTTCTTTAGGTAAATTTTTTTATTTAAGTATTATGCCTTATTTGCTGAAAATTAATAAACCAGAAAAACTGGAATTAGAATTACATTGTAAATCATCCCACTACCTTAGTAAAGTTTGAACAAAGAAACATTAAGCTATTGTGCCACTGTATTCTTAAGGAACTCCAAAACTTATCTTTCAGTATTTGCTTAGACTATATTAATGTTTTTAAAGGTTCCATCAACTTTTTTTTTTTTGCTTTTTGGGTCACACCTGGCGATGCACGGGGGTTACTCCTGGCTCTGCACTCAGGAGTTACTCCTGGGGGTGCTCAGGGGACCATATGGAATGCTGGGAATAGAACCCGGGTCGGCCACGCGCAAGGCAAACGCCCTATCCGCTGTGCTATTGTTCCAGTCCCTCCATCAACTATTTACCTTAAATTTTGTTTTTGGTTTTGGTTTTGGGTGGTGCTGGGATTAATACCCAGTGGTGCTCAGGGATCAATTCTGATGTAGTGCTGGGAATCTAACCCAGGTTGGCTGCATGCAAGGTAAGCATTCTATCCACTGCACTATTTCCATAGCCTCTAAAATACTTTTTAAATTCTCATTTTGGTAACTTAGGATTTATAACAATAGATTAAAATACTTTGGACATCTGTGCTCACAAGTCTTAAATTGACTTATGCTGAGGGAAATGTACATAATAAATAACAATAGACTGAATGTGGGGGTGATAGCCTTTTTTTTTATCTGCTGCATTATTATATATTGACTTTCACTACTTATAAAAATCCCCCAAATCCCCCAAACAGTTTGGCTTTGCCAAAATATATCAAAGACTTGGACGTCTGTTGCCTTGAGAGAGTGATAAACAGGGTGTCTGCTTGCACTGAACACTTGAGTCGGCTTCATCCAGGCTAATAACTGAGTACAGAAATTGAACTATTTTGATAATATTAGAAGCATATTTCTTAAAAATCTGGTGGTTTGGGCTGGAGCGATAGCACAGCAGGTAGGGCGTTTGCCTTGCATGCAGCCAACCCAGGTTCGAATCCCAGCATCCCATATGGTCCCCTGAGCACCGCCAGGAGTGATTCCTGAGTGCAGAGCCAGGAGTAACCCCTGAGCATCTCCGGGCGTGACCCAAAAAGCAAAAAAACAAAAAATCTGGTGGTTTGAGAGGTGGTACAGCTGATAGGATGTTTGCCTTGGACACTGTTGCACAGGTCAGTCATTGGCACCATAAATGGTTCCTTAAGCACCCCCAAGTGTGACCTCTGAGAACCACCAGTTGTGGTCACAAAACAAACCCAAACACCTGATCTGTTTTTGCTACAGTGTTTTAGATTTGAATACAATGATCTATTTTAGAAAATTCTTTTTGCGGAATATGATAATCAAAAAAGCTTAAAACATTTTTTAAATTATAAACTGTAACTTTAGTTTGTTTTCTTTTATTCTTTTTGAAAATAGATCAAGATCACAAATCTACTAAATTTAAAAAATTAATCTGACTTCTGCTACTATGGCATTTAGTTTGTGACCCAATGAATATGTACCAATAAGGTATTATTGGTCTCTTCAGTGTTATATACACTTTTGGTTTTGTGGTGGAATAATCTTTGTAACATTATAGCTAATTTCAGCTTTAAAGTAAAAAAAAAGAAAGGGAATAATGTGAACTGGTGATGTCTTTTTCTTCCAGCTCTGTTATTGATCTGTGTTCATCTGAGTAGGCATATGATCATATTTAGACATTCTATTTCAGGACTAAATAGACCAATACTGGAACTAGAACTATAGAATTCGGTTTTCCCTCCCAATTTATAAATAATATAGGTACTAGTAGGTCAAAGATTGTAGTCATCCCTAGCAAAAGATTAGTATCTTGGTGTCAACATTTAAGTAAACATAGCTACGTAATGTCATCAGATTTAATAACGGGGCCTGGGCTGGAGAGAAGTGCAGGGGGTTAAGGCTTTTTCCTTGTACATGCCCAACCCAGTTCCATCCCTTGCACCATGTATTTTCCCCCAAGTCAGGAGTGATCCTGAGCACAGAACCAGGAGTAAGCCCTGAGCACAGCCAGGTCCCCTAAACCAAATAAAACCAAAATATGGGTTCCAACTAATTCTAAAACTAGAAGGCAAAGTTAAGTTAGTTATTGAATTAAACCAATTTCTTAGATATAAAAATGTCTATATACTGAGTCCATATTATACATAATTGATTTTATTCTGAGAAGGTTATTCTGTAATGTTCAAGTTTTAAAGATCCTCTGTTATAAAGGATAATAACAAGTGTGTGCTGAGCTGCTGCTGTGGGTCATAGTTCCACACTGATTCCACAGAGCTGGGCAGAAAAACGCCCTTTATTTCATGTGGACTTTACAGTTTAGAGTGATTGAGGGGCCTTCAAAGTCTAATTGGTGGCTGTGCGGCCTCTCCCTGGGATTCTCACCCAGCTGGGCAGGTGGTTCAATACTTGGGCCCAAGTTTTGATGTTTCTCTGGGCCTGCAGTGCCAGGCACCGCCTCTTGGTACCCAAGAGCCTCCTGTAACGCAGGAGTCTGTGTGTGCCAGGAGTCACGTGGGTTGGGTGCATGCATCCTAACCCCTATTTTATCTCCCTCATTCTAATGAACTTTCAACTTCAAAAATCACAATTTTTAAAGTTCCTATTTGTATTACAAACTTTTATTTTAGGGATTTGGGGTTACACCTGTAGTGTTCAGGGGTACTCCTGACTCTGTACTCAGGAGTTGCTCCTGGCAGTGTCCTGGGGACCATGTGGTGCTGGGGATAGCACCCAGTCCTCCAGCATGTAAAGCCTGAGCTCAGCCCCCTGAGCCATGTCCCAGGGCTCTGTATAATGAGCATTTAAAGGGTTATGGTTGGCTGGAGATGGAATCCTAAAACACATGTACCTTTTTCTTGTGTCTCTTGAGAAGTAGATTGAGGAAATGCCCATTTATATATTAGGCAGAATATTTTCTTATTTTTATTCATGGGACCACATGATATTAGGTCTTCTTGCTTATCTTCAGAATAAACTTGTGAAAACAGAGAATTTTTTCCCCACTGCTACGAACTTCCACAAAGCTTTTCTGGGAAATGGCAAACACTACAGTTTTTGTTAGCTCTGAAAATCATGTCGATTGCCTTCTTGATTTTGTGCCAAATTTTGTTGTCTGTGTATCATGTACTGGAAAAATCTTGAAGATGGGAGAATTAGCTTTAGTATTTGTATTTTTAATATATCAATAACCATGAATCAGGACTTCACTTAATCACTTAAAATTCTCTTTAAATTATAAAAGTTCTTAGGAACCAAGAAGATTGAATCTCTGGAACAAAACAAACAAACCCTGCTTTATGCTTGATTTGTAAATGTCTGGATTTAGTATCCTGAACTATGAGAATATTGTCTTAGTTAAATTGTTTCATACGTATTAGTCCTTATTGTATTTAACTATGAAACCCAAAGATTATTCTTTTTTGTGCTGGTTGACTGTGCATAGTTCTTATGAAATATCACCTCAGTGGTTAGAGGTACCCAAGCTAAGGTGTTGAATTTTTCAGGTAAGGGATTGTGAATGGCAGTAGGGCTGATGCGTGTGTTTTAGATATGCCGCATCACTGCAGCACCACCCCCACCTTAGCATGCCAGTATTCCTCCACTGCTATCCCATGGTCCCTTTCCTGGGTCCTCCCGGCCCAGTTGGTATGTCAGGGTTGTTTTCATTGCTCATTGTCTATTATCTTATTTTCTCCAAAATAAAGTTTTATAATACAAGTTTGTAGTACAATTTAAGACAGTTACACCTTTTAATTTTTGGTTCATTCCTACCTTATTTGTTGGCTGCGTGCAAGGCAGACGCCCTACCCGCTGTGCTATCGCTCCAGCTTATGGGCTGGAGCGATAGCACAGCAGGTAGGGCGTTCGCCTTACAAGCGGCCAACATGGCCGACCCGAGTTCGATTCCTCTGCCCCTCTCGGAGAGCCCGGCCAGCTACCGAGAGTATTCGATATGCCAGACACAGTAACAACAAAGTCTCCAATGGAGACGTTACTGGGCCCGCTCGAGCAAATCGACGATCAACGGGAGGGCCTTTACCTTTACCTTTACCTCCTACCTTATAGCTTAAGAAAGTTATTTATTTATTTATTTATTTATTTGCTTTTTTTGGGTCACACCCAGCGATGCACAGGGATTACTCCTGGTCCATGCACACAGGAATTACTCCTGGCCGTGCTTGGGGGACCATATGGGATGCTGGGAATCAAACCCGGGTCAGGCATGTGCAAGGCAAACGCCCTACCCACTGTGCTATAACTCCAGCCCCGAAAGTTATTTTTTTTTTAAAAAAAAAAAAGAGAGAAGAAAGAAAAAGAAAATGATCACTGGTTTATTTTTATTTATTTATTTCTCATTTTGGGGGCCACACCTGGCTATACTCAGGGATTACTCCTTGCTCTGTGTTCAGGAATTACCCCTGACAATGCTTGGGGAACTGTATGTTATGTTATGTTATGTTATGTTATGTTATGTTATGTTATGAACCCCAGTTGGCCATGTGTAAGGCAAGTGCCTACCTGCTGTACTATCAGTCCAGCCCCAGCACTGGCTCATTTTAGTGATAACTTTTGAAATGCACATGTAGGCCAAAGAGATAGTATGGAGGTAAGGCACCTGCCTTACATGCAGCTGACTCTGGTGTGATCTCCCAGCACTGCACATGGTCCTTAAGCACCATCAGGAGATCCCTGAGCACAGAGCTAGTGATAGTCTCTGAGCACTGCTAGGTAGGGCCCCAAACTCCAAAATAAATCAAGGCAGGTAATTGTTTATCTCTAAATTACCAAGTGTTTGTTCAACACTACTTTCTAAGTTATTTTGTATAACTGTAAAAAGTATCTACAGTTGTTTAAAACTATATTTTAGATTAATGTGATATCACTGTATCACTATATCACTGTCATCCCGTTGTCAATTTACTCGAGCGGGCGCCAGTAACATCTCTATTCGTCCCAGCCCTGAGATTTTAGCAGCCTCTCCTTACATGTCTTTCCCAACGATTGGAGGCTCTTTCAGGGCCAGGGTAATGAGACCCGTTATAGTTACTGGTTTTGGCACATCGAATATGACACAGATAGCTTGCCAGGCTCTGCCCATGCAGGCGGGATACTCTCGGTAGCTTTCCGGGAACTCCGAGAGGCATAAATAAAAAATATATATATATATATTTTTTTCTCTATGATCTGTTGCCTACTGTGTGAACTCCATTAAACATGGTGCGGTAATTATTGACAATGGGCAGGAAGTGTTCCAAAGCGGCTGCGTGGTCCGGAAAGTGACCTGGAGCATGGCAGCAGTTGGGTAGTGGAGGTCGGCTGCCAGGGATGGGTCCCTTGGGGCGGGGAGGGTTCTCACTTGCCCTCCTCTGGGGTGCTGCGAGTGGAAAGAGCCTGGCACGGAGTCCGGTGGCATGGTTATGGGGCCTCCTTTTATACTCCCATCTGGGACAGGCACATGTGATATATGCATATAATATTGGAACAGGGAGATAGCTCCAAGGGCTGGAGCACTTACCTGGCATGAGTGAGGACTCAAGTTCAGTGGTGGCACCGTCTGGTCCCTGAGCACCGCTGTCTATGACATTGCGAGCTGCCACTACTGTTGGGCCCCAGCAGTGCTCATCCAAGCCTTGCCCCTTCCTGCTGGGAGGAGGGCAGGTGATTTTTGCCAGAAGTCACTCTGGATTCTCTGTTTGCACTTGGTAGCCCCCGTCCCGCACCAAACAAAGCATTCTCGTACTTTACTGTCTTTCATAGATAAACCCTCCCACACTGAACAAAGCATCCTCATACCTTACTGTCTTTTATATATAAAAAGGCATTTAAACATGGGAATGTCTTCTGAAGAGCTAGCTATAGATGTACTTTTTAATGTTCTGGTTACAAAATCCCAAGTAATTTGCCATCTCTCTATTCTTCTGTCAAAGTACATTAACATGCATGATTTTTGGAAGGGTCCTGACCAAAAGTACTTTTTTTTTTTTGGTTTTTGGGTGTTTTCTTAAAAGATCACACCCAGTGGTGCTCAGGGGCTACTTACTCCTTGTTCTGTTCTCAGGGGTCACTTGCTACAGTGCCCAAGAGACCTGGGATTGAACCTGGGCTTCCCATTCAATTCCTTCCACCTTTGTAAATACTTTCTGTGGATATATTTGACATTTAAAGCTTAGATTAATGTCCTTGAAACTGTAACACATAATGCTGAACACATTAGATGCTATGCCATGTTGACAGTAGTAGTCTCAAACTAATGATTTTTCTCATTTTATTAGGATAGTTGTTGTGTCATCAAAAGTAATAATGCTTTTTGTGGTTGTTCTTACATCCTCAAAACAAATGGATGATTACTTTTTTTTTTTGCCCCAGCAGCTCTTACTTATCAAATTAGACATTACAAGTTAATTAAACTGTATAGTTTAAAAAACCAACCTATCAGAATACGAAGAAAAATCTTAATTCTTAGCGCCAATAAATAAGACATCTTTAGGGTGTATGTGTGTGCCATTGAGGGTCAAACATACTGTAGATTGCAAACATCAAAGGTACTGTCACTGTCCTCCCGTTGTTCATTGATTTGCTCAAGCGGGCCCAGTAACGTCTCCATCGTGAGACTTGTTGTTACTGTGTTTTGCATATCGACGTCACGGGTATCTTGCCAGGCCTTGCAGTGCGGGCGAGATACTCTCAGTAACTTGCCAGGCTCTCCGAGAGAGGTGGAGGAATCAAACTTGGGTCGGCCATGTTGGCTGCTTGCAAGACAAACGCCCTACCCACTCTGCTATTGCTCCAGCCCATCAAAGGTACTATATTGGTAATATGAAGACACTATATTGATGTGTACATGTGTTTAATATAGTCAAAGAAAAATGCACTTAACTATGATCCCAGCTATAGCAATAACATCTGATTAAGCTATGTTTTACTGGGCAGCTCTTCAGTACGCAGGAAGGAACCCATCCCAGAAGACCATCAATAAGTACTGGACCCCTCAAACTGCCAAACTGAATTTTGATGATTTTTGTGTAATTTTAAGAAATGAAAAGCCTGTTTCAAAAGCAGAGCTGCTGAATTCATTTAAGCAACTTGATGTCACTGATGATGGCTTTATATCCCACGCTGATCTTTATAAATTCCTCACGAAGGTAAGACGTGTGAAACAATTCCATGGGATGCATATTTTGTGAAACCACGGGCAGTTGCTTTGGTCAAACATAACATTCATGGGCAGGTGGAATGAATCACATATATGTTGTCTATAAAGTACTTAAGGATCTTTCTCGATCAAAGATGTTTTGTTATTTTTTCCCCCTTGATAAGTCTTTATTTGTTTATTTTATTTTATTTTAATTTTTTATTAGTGAAACACCATGAGGTACAGTTGTAGACTTACAAACTTCTGTGCTTGGGTTTCAGTTATATAATGATCAAGCACCCATCCCTCCACCAGTGCCCACTTTCCACCCCCACCAATCCTAGTATCCCTCCCACCCCCCCATCCCCCATCCCACCCTTCCTCCGTGGCAGGGCACTCCCTTTTGTTCTCTCTCTCCTTTTGGGTGCTGTGGTTTGCAAAAGAGGCATTGGGTGGCAATCATGTTCAGTCTGTAGTCCACTTTCAGCATGCATCTCCCATCCTGGGCGGATCTTCCCCTTGATAAGTCTTTAATTTGAAGAGTATACTATTGCTATCAATTAGATTCATTGAAGTATGTGTTCATTGCTTGCCTCTTCAGCTTCTGTAGGTACAACTAAATATCCTTATGAGAAAGTAAAGTTGGTATTTATTTTACTGCTGACTGGCTCATTGGATCAAAGATGCTTTGTAAATAAAAGATAAAATTGAATCCAAATTGCAGTCCCCTTTTGCTCCCTTGTAATTTTTTTCTATACTTTCTTTTTGTAGTTTTATTAGGGAGGCCATGTGGTTTATAGTACTGTTAATGTTTATGGTTTTGATGTACAAAATTGCTGCATCTCCACCACCACCACATCCGAAGTGCCCAGACCCTCCTTATTTTACTTCTAGTCCTTTGCAGTCATTTCCTACCCAGAAACCTTGGCAAATCAGTGATCGGTTCATCTGTGACAAGTAAAAGAGAAACATCCAAATGGAACAATGTGCAAAAGCATCATTCTGAATATTCTGAATTTAATAGTAATTGTTATTGGATATCTCATATTGTTCTTGAAATTCAATAAAGTAAAAATTTTGCACATTTTTTACAAAATTTTTATGAAATTGTGAATTTTATATTCCTTTCATTCTTATAATACCCATTTTGAGATTTATAATGATACCATATTTTCAAACCTGTAGAAAAGATTAGGGTGACATTATTCTTTCCTTATGTGCAACTAAGTGTGACAGTTTTTTGTTTTAGAAATATCTATCTTTTTTAAGGGCCAGGGAGCCCCAAGAGCTGAGCGGATGCTTTGCATATAAGAGGCCCAGGGCCACATGGTCCCCTGAACACCTCCACAGGCACCAACCCCCGAGCACTACTAGGTGTACCCCCCGCCCCCGCCAAAAGTATATATCTTGACATCTTGTTTTTACAGAGAGGTGAGAGGATGACTCGAGAAGAAGTCAATGCCATAATAAGTTTAGATGATGTAAATGCTGATGGGAGATTTGACTACCTCAAGGTACATAAAGCCATATAAATTTACTTACTATGTTAGACTGACTGGGTTTTTAATTTTTTTTAAGGGGCACTTTTTAATATGACAGTGACATACTTAGATAACCATTGTAGTAGAAATTTCATCTCTTCAGTCTCATGGCTATAATCTAATGACTACATTAAAAATGAGATAACCACCTAAGTATGCATACTTACAGAGACAGAGACTCTCGTTAGACACAAGCCTTTTCCAGAGTGGAAGAATCATAAAAATTATTTAGAACAAACCCAAGTCTACACATCTTGTAAAAAGAGTCATAAATCATTTCTCTTAGTATAGCCTTTTATTTTCACTCACTATGACCTCCTTGTTGAATCATGGCTGCATTTCACCAGGTCACTTGAGGGTGGTCAGTCTGATTCCGGAAAAATGAGTACCCTAGTTCAGTAGGAAATATATTCCATCTATCAGTCAATCCTTTGCCTACTAATGTGCATTTGCCTTCTCCCAAATGCATGATTGAGCGTTTTACCCACTGGACTCCTTTTTTATTTCCTGTAGTTTTGTAAATTATATATGACAACCAATGAGCAATGTCTCAAAACTGCCTTAGAAAAACTGGAGGTTGACAGTAAACTGAGACGGCAACAGTTTGGAAGCCGCAAGGAAGGGTCCCCTGAAAGCCACCCATTGCCAGGACCCAAACCGTCACCTGGAATCATAAGAAAGACTGACCAGGAACCACCTTCAAATAAAGGTATTTGCTTTTGATATTAAGAATTCCTTGACCAAGAATGGTGGGTCATAGCCACATTCGTTTTTCCTTTCATCTTAGCTTATTGGTGATAAAACAAATGAGAATCCAACTTTTGTTAGCTACCATTTTAGACTCTCTTAGCTATAAAAATCTATTGAAATAAAATTTTATTGTGGAACTTGACTTGGCTATGCTCATTATATTTTATTAAAAGTAAAATTTCAGGCTAAAAGGTGACATATTGCAATAAGGAATCTTATTAGTAACCCATAAATTAGGGACCATTAAATCCTGATTAATATAAAGCTGCTGATTTTATTTCAATGGGAAGATCAAAGAGAAGGAAATTAATTCCTAGACTTTTTTTTTGCTACATTGTGCTTAGAAACAAACTTCCTATTGACAGTTTTAACTGTGAGACCAAGTAACTATTACTCCTAACTATTACAGGTGACACCAGGAATTCTTTATTGGAAACAACTGTAAAGTTCAAATCATCTGTTTCCTTCATAATTACCATGGGTGTAACGAGCAACCGAAATTCAAAATTAACTGAGCCAAACTCAATAAAGGTATAGTACTTTTACAGGAATAGTTTTTTTCTTCAAAGCTTTCAAGTTTATTAATAACTCTTCAGTGTTTGTGAGAGACAGTACATTTGTGAAGTAATTATTTGTGTTTTTTTCCTGTAGAGTATAGTATTTGTGCTATAACAAATTTTGCTAATAAATATGATGAATAAAAATATTGCTTAAAGGGCTTCATTTTGAAAGTGACTTTAGTTTTTTAACTTGAGTAGAGGATCTAATTATGTACTTTTCTGAGCAATTTTTTGGTTTTGTTTAACAAATTTTTTCGGTAGGTGTTTCTTATAAATAAATCATTCATTCAGTTATCAGTTCCTATGAAAGACCAACAACATCGCTTTCCTAAGTCAATATTTGTAGTGTTAATATTGATCTTCTTTCTTTGTGTTCCCTTTCTAGAATCAGCCTTTACTAGTTTTCTTTCAACAGAAAATAATAGCTACAAAAATATAAAACATTAACTGGAAACTGCTAGGATACATTAAAAATGTGTACCTAGAGACCGCTGTAAAAGGGGGAAAAATGGTTATGACCACATACTATAACTGCTGTTAGAAAACTGAACTGATCGTCCTCAAGAGCTACATTTTTGTTTCAAATAACAACTCTGTATTTGTTATTGAACTCTGAAGTCCCTTATATCTTTAAATTGCTAGGCAGTGACATTTGTTCTATATTAAAATTTTAAAACATTATCTCCAAGGAATTTGGTTCAGACTGTTTAGGAATCTATACACCCTAAGCAATTTGGTGTGCATGTCTAGCAATATTTAGTGTTCCAACAATATTATTTTCTACTGGTGGGACCTTTTTACATTTTGCAACTAAATTGATTGCTAATTGAAGATTAATTATTAAAATTATTATTAAACTATCAACACATTTACTAATAAGCAATTAGTAAATATTTAAATAAGTAAAACCCAATAAGTATGCCTTAATTGATCAAATATATAAATAAAAATATTTTATCTGGGATAGGTATAAAAATTATATTAAAATAATTTAAGACTTTTTCTGTGTCATGCTGTTATTAATTGAGCCTATAGCAATATAACTTTTTTTAAAAATTTATTTATTTATTGAATCACTGTGGGAAAAGTTACAAAGCTTTCAGGTTTAGGTCTCGGTCATGCAAATATCAAACACATTTCCCTTTACCGATACTTATTTTTCACCACGAAGAACCCCAATAAACCAACAAAGTCGCTTTCCTAAGTCAATAAAACCCCCCCCACCCCCTCCCAAATGCCTGTGGAGCAGATGAATTCCAGTTAACACTCTATCTACTTTGACTAGCTTCATTGTTTCGATAAAAATTGCACCATTATTATTAAGACTTTAACACCCCCCCCCCCAAATCAGCCATGCTGAAAAAGCGTTGTGAAATGATTTGCTTTCTACAGCTGGGTTCAAGAATTAAATGATGGTTTTGGATTTCTGCTATTTTACTTATTAACCCTGGAAGTATTTCTACTGAGAGTCAGATAATTAAGAGATTGGTTTCTCTGCTCTGGAGTCATGGCCGTGCCGGAGAGCCGCTCGTGGGGGGCAACTGGTGACCTCGGTAGGGCGTGAAGGGCGGGCCGGAACGCCCCCCGTCCTATGTATAACTTTTTAACTTAGTTCAGCTGAACAGATATTTACTAGAATGATAATACATGCCCTTTTTTGCTTACTGGCAAAAGGTGGATTAAAAAATTAAAAGGTTAGTTGTTGTTGTTGTTTTTTGCCACACCTGATGGTACTCAGGGCTTACTCCTGGTTCTGTGCTCAGGGATCACTTCTGGCAGGACTTGGGGAACCATATGAGGTGTCAGGGATTGAAGCCAGGTTGCCCATATGGAAGGCAAGCACCCTATGCACTGTGCTATCTCTTAGTTTCCACAAATTAAGAGAATTTATAATGGCTTCAGAAATAGCTCAAATGCTAGAGCACATGCCTAGAGATCTTGAGTTTATCGCCAACAACCTTGTGCCCTCCCATTCCCCCAACACAACTGGTGTGACCCTAGTGACCCCCAAAAGAGAAAGGTATTGTCCCTAGCACAGCGGTAGGGCGTTCGCCTTACAAGCGGCCAACATGGCCGACCCGAGTTCGATTCCTCCGCCCCTCTCGGAGAGCCCGGCAAGCTACCGAGAGTATTCGATATGCCAGACACAGTAACAACAAAGTCTCCAATGGAGACGTTACTGGGCCCGCTCGAGCAAATCGGCGATCAACGGGAGGGCCTTTGCTTTGCTTTTGCTTTGCTAACAGTATACCAAGGTAGTTTATCTTGGTATAAGTATAATAAGTATTTTACTTATTCATTCATATATTCAATGATATTTCTTTACTAGCAACTTTGTTAGGCAACCATTCTAGGTATTGATGAAATTCTTTGGACAGAAATATCTATGATTGAATCCTAGGTTTTTCAGCAACTGGTCTTTGGTGCTCTAGTCAACAGCCCTTCTGAGTCTCAGTTTCCTTATCTATGAAGTGGGAAATATTATATTTAGTATGTCTTGAAAGATTTAAGTGATCTAACATATATAAAACATTTAGCACAGTGCCAGAGACATAGAGTGACTTTAATAAATAATAACGTTGCGGACATTATTGTAGAACAAGAAATGACTTGCAGGTTTTTTTTTCTTTTTGGGTCACACCCGGCGATGCACAGGGGTTACTCCTGGCTCTGCACTCAGATTTACTCCTGGCAGTGCTCAGGGGACCATATGGGATGCTGGGAATCGAACCCAGTTCAGGCACGTGCAAGGCAAACGTCCTACCCGCTATACTATCATTCCAGCCCCGACTTTCAGTTTTTTTTTTTTTTTTGCTTTTTTGGGTCACACCTGGCGATGCACAGGGGTTACTCCTGGCTCTGCACTCAGATTTACTCCTGGCTATGCTCAGGGGACCACATGGGATGCTGGGAATCGAACCCAGTTCAGCCACGTGCAAGGCAAACGCCCTACCTGCTGTACTATGGTTCCAGCCCCGACTTTCAGTTTTTATGCAGGAACAATATGAGGGTTAGTTTCAAAGAAATTATTCTGCTTTACAAAGACCTCAAATTAGGGAGGTTTGATTAGGGAGGTCAAACTCCAGAGATCTGAAAGTCTGGCACAGTTCTCCAGATACAAAGTGCTGACCACGGGCGTGAGGGCCGCACTCCTGAGAACGGATGTCCCAGGCTGGCCCAACTGTCACGGTGACCGCCTGGTGAAAGAGCTGTGCTGGGGAGATGTTGTTAACTGGCTGTCTCCAAAAACCAAAAGACGACTTAGGTTTTTTACTAAGATTCCAGAACAGGAAATGGTGCTGGTATTAGTTAAGAGGCGGTCAGGGAAGAGGGACTCCACGAATTTAATAGTGAAAAGAAGATGACTACTGTCAGCTTTAAAGTTCTGTAACTTTCACATAAAATGAAATGTCATTCGGAAATGCTTCATATATTACTAATATTCCTCTCCTATTTCTGACCTTGATCTTTCCCACTATCGTGACCTTATACCTCTTAAGGGTGAACTGAAATCATTATTTTAAAAAAATCTGTGGGCCTTTTGTTATTCAACAGGAGTCCTTTGCATTTTATGCTATACTTACTTTTTAAATAAATTTTTATAAATTTATACATTTCTTAAATTTTGTATTAATGAGAAATAGTTGGTTATTAAGGAAGTTATAAAATTTGTCCTGAATGACACTAAATCATAAGTTACTGAGAGGACTGTTAATTTTCTTCAGACACTTGAAGTCTATTTAAAATAAGTTTGTGTATCTCAGTTTCATGTGGAATAGAGTAAGGAGTAAGGAACTAGGTCAGGGAATATGGGACTTTTCAGGAATTAGGAAATTATTACAAAGGTTTAAGGCTAAACCATATTTATAAATTACAAGTCCATCAAATTGGTAAAGAATAAGAATTTCAGGAGGAAAGTAAGGCCTTTGTAGGGATGTACACGTTATTTTCTACAGAGTATTCACAGGCACTGCGTCATTAGTGTGTTTTTAAACCTGAATATCAATTTGCTTAGGTTTTGTAACATGCAAGAAATGTCAGGAATTTTTGAGAAGGGACTAGCCTTAACTTTCTTGCAAGTCATGACTAGAATTAGAGAAGGCCCCAAGCCATAAGTTATAAATTCCAGAGAGAATTTTTTCCCTATATTTAGATTGTTAATTAGAATGTAATTACACATATATAATTACATAAATCATATGATTATGTTGTATGTATTTAGTCAGATATGTTATATATGTCAATACAAAGCATTAGAAAAATAAACACTTTTGGGAGGAAAGGGTCTCTGGAAGGGTGAGATCAAACCCATGTTGACCCCATGCAAGGTAAACTCCCTACCCTTTGTATAGTCTCTCTGGTCCCTCTACAGTTTGTGATCTTTAGTAACAAAAGCTCAGTAACTTTCTCTACCTAGTGATAATGAAGAGCAAATAGGTTTCCAGTAATATGGCATGTGATGTCTTTATAAAAAACAGAAGATAAATAAGATGTATTTGTTCTCTTGGGCTGGAGCGATAGCACAGCGGGTAGGGCGTCCGCCTTACAAGCGGCCAACATGGCCGACCCGAGTTCGATTCCTCCGCCCCTCTCGGAGAGCCCGGCAAGCTACCGAGAGTATTCGATATGCCAGACACAGTAACAACAAAGTCTCCAATAGAGACGTTACTGGGCCCGCTCGAGCAAATCGACGATCAATGGGAGGGCCTTTACCTTTACCTTACCTTTATTTATTCTCTTAAATCTCTGGCACATTTACTATTGAACAGTTCTACCTCACCTAAAACTTTGGTAATAATATAGAATTTGTATGTTGAAATATATTTACTGCAATGTTTCAGGAAAATTAATAGATAGAATTCTCAATTTTTTGAAAATTCTTACACATTTTTATTCTTTTATATATTGTATATGAAAACAAGAAAAATTTGTAAAGGACAGATACACTTTGTGCTTACACATTTTTGAATT